GGTGGAATCGTGGTACTTGGTTTTGCCAAAAGTCAAATCTTTAAGGTTCGTTTTAATAATCAAATTACAGTATTGATACTGCCCTATTTACATGGTTTGCTAATAAATTTTCTCTATTACACGTTTACAGGTGTTCTACTTCAGGATGTACCTGGGTATCGTATTATTCGGGGCAGCTCATGGTTTAATATTTTTGCCCGTGTTACTCAGTTATATCGGTAAGTATGATTGCTTGTTTTATTTATGATATTAAAACTTAATTTACATACAAATCATATTACTCCATCGATATACATATACATATGAAATCACACCAGCGCTGCTTGAGTAACACTGGTCAATACAGTTTTCATATCCCTTCCTACGACGTACAATTAAACACACAAGAGTGCTGTTTATAAAATGTTATATTTATTTAACGTGTTCGCTTATATTACGTTTACTTTTCTGTCTGTTTTCATATCGGTGTATATAAGTTTAACTTGAAACAATTATCTCTTGAAAGGACTAAATAAAGTCAAGTTACAGTAACGAATTAAGCAAGCTTCTTCATTGCTTCTGGTGGTTCTAGGCACACCAATGAACAGAGAAAAGCTGGCGAATCACAAAAGAGCAATGCAAGCAAATCTGGACAACGTGCAGGAGACTTCTTTGAATCATCGTGTAAGCAAACTCAATTCTCCTCCCACACCCACCACAACCACACCTACGTTCAGACCGCTCGAATACGAAAGATAGGTACGCAGGACACTAACATTTTCTACACTTTAATTTATGTCGCGACAACGCCACTTCTTTTTCGGCTTTTCAATACTCTATACACAGCTTTCTACGACGAAGAGACATGCTTGGTAATTTACACGAAAATTTACACGGTAATTTACAAGTATCGAAAATATTTTCCTTACATCGTTCAGCGTAATTTCCTTATACATACTTCCTTATACTGTTATTTATAAACTATCGGTACTTTGAGCTTTTTCTTTCTTGAATACTCTATCTTTCCGTATCACCTTAAAAGTAAAATTTACGTGTATTACAAATAAAACCCGTGTATGTTGATGAGTGTGGGATGGAACATCTACTTTCGTAAGACATGCTTTTCTCTAAAAAAATTGTTTCCTATCCTATTTTTTTGGTTTGGTTTTTCCGTTATTGGTAAATTACCTTTTAGCTGCAAAGCTTTTTGTTTTTAGTTTTTATGTTTTACATGTGCTCTTGTGATTAGTTAGTGTTACATATACTCGAGCATTGTGTTGCTATAAAAATGCTAGTGTTATTAATTTAATTGTGTAAACGCCAATGATGAAAATCTCTATTTCTTTTCTCTATATAATATTCTTTTCGATTATATGTGAATTACTGTGCACTGCCATTTATAGAATTATTAGAAAATGGGATATGGAAAGGATGAATTGCCACTGGTGAACAGCGCTTGCTCATATCTTCCTTCTTTTTTTTTTAACATTATCACCCTTTATTTTTCCTGAAGCGCGTATAATTTTTATTATAAGTTGGTTTCTGTACATATATTTCTAGATGTCTGTTGTGTCCAATAAATGGCAGGGTAAAAGTATAAATTAAATACAATTATTTGTTATTATCTTTGCAGGCGTGATGCCGCGCCGAAGGCGTAGAGGAGCCCGTCAATGTGCCAGCAGGGCTAGAAACGAATTTAGGAGCCAGGTACAGGGGCCTGACAGTCCTTTGCTCCAAAATGACAACAATCAATTCCCAACCACTTCCTACGCCAGTGTGAACTCCATAGATCCGTCAGATCATCGAGTGATCTTTTAGCACTGATCATTATCCGAATTAATTAACACTATGACTTTTGTATTTAGAAAGACTGAAGATGATCTGCTTAATATGATACTTAACCATTTTTACCATCATCAACATTATTCTTTTCAAAAGGTTGAATAGAGGTTGAATAGGCTGAATGATTGTCTAAAGAATTATGTGATCAAATTTGAACTATGAAGTTCATACATGGTTATTTTATTGTATTTAGGAAGCGATGAATTTCAGATATGATTAATATTATTATTATCATTAATATCGTAAGGTTACATTATATTTAGGGTATTTAATTGTGAAAGAATTCTAATGCTGAAGCTTTATTATGTATTTGCAGTAAGTTTTTAGGTGGTGCGATTAATCGAATAGATTGTAAGTACCAAGGTATATAATTTAGTTTTCTGGTACTTTTTTTTTTTCAATGAATAATGCGTAAATGTGCGTTGCTGCATTTTCGTCGTGCTTTAATCACACGGATGCATTTTTTATCGCTGGGAGAGTTAAGTTTCCAATATGAATGTCATATAATGATGGGGAAAAAGAGATGACTTCTCAGCGGTATAATGCCGTTACATACATTTTGTGTTTATGTGTGATGAACAAGATTGATACTACGAAATTTATTTTAAAATTCTTTGTACAACGTAAATACGAAATGTCACTCGAGGAGAGAATATCAACCGTCCTTAGTCGAGATAAAATATTAAATAGAAACAGATTTGTATTTATGCTGTACAAATCATTGTACATACATATATAATTTCAACGTGAGAATGTTTTCAGTTGATAATCTAATATCCATGGCATTAGTATCGGAATACGTGTTTCTACCTTGCATTTTATTCGTTTCAGTGGCATACGATAATATTCCAAAAATAAATTTGATTCATTTCATTATAGATTAACGTTAGCAACAGTTTTCAGAAGTAGTATATCTTAGAAGGAAAAATTTGGAAATTTGTTTTATTTTTTATGCAATCTGTAGACTTTTTAAATAATTCCTTTTTGTATTACCCTATATTTTATATTGACTTGCATATGTGAAACGTTGATCAAATTGCAACTAAGTGTTCAGAACCGGATAAAAGATAGAAGATAAAGTATTACCTTTGTTCAGTTGCTGCTTAGTTTTTTAAACTCTAGCATTGTCTGTGTAAAAATTATGGGAAAAAAGGGAGAAGGTCGTTAGGCTAATTAGTAAAAGAGATGTAAACGTTTAATTTTTTGTTGCATGCTTTATTGCTGTAAAATGTCTCACAAGAAGAGCTAAGTGTCTGTATTTAATTATAACAGTATTCTTTTTCTTTCTCTTTTTTGTATGAAGTTGAACAGAGAATAGCATGTGTGACTTTGTCGCATTAGAACGATGCCCGTCTTCTCTGTAAACACGAGCGTGTTTCCTGTCGTGAGTTCAAATTCATACGTTTTATAAAATTATTTGTATACGAAAAACAATTTTTATATTGACAACAAAAGAGTGTGTAATGCAAAGTTAAATAACAAACCTCGCTAGTGAAAATTATTAAACGATAAATTTGCTGCAGTATACTGCGCACACGAGTGAAATTGAAACTCGTCTGTATTATTCGGTGTTTATAAATCTTGTCCAAGCACCTCGTTACATGGTGTTACGAGTATAGTATTTGAGAGAGATTACAAGTTTGTTCTATGTGTGTACGTGGCAAAAAGAAGTACATTGTGAACGTTAAATAATAAAAAAAGAGGCGGTGAATTTTAACGATGAGTATGTACATTATGCCCGGGTTCAATTATGTTAAAAGATATTACAGACTACATATCACTACAGCAATTTCAGTATTAAATTTGTGTAATAAGCAGAGCACGACGATACTACCAAAGAGATGTCCGAATAACGTCAAAACGTGTTAACACGTAATACGAATAAAGTTTCTCCTGTTTGTATAATACAAACATATATCTTGTTGTGTACCTTTTAACATCGTTATTTATAGTCTGTCTTTGGACGTCAATGGGATAATAGTTTTTGTCTTTATATATTAAAACGTTAATTTAAATGCAAAAATAAATCTCCCGCCAAAAGGGAAGATTCAAATTCAACAAACTCAATGACTTACCAACTGAGTTTCCAGAACAGGGCCACTAGCGCTATCTATCAGTAAGTCGCGGAAACTACTTACAAACTAGTTTCACAGACTTCCCGATAGAGGGCAAAAATGTTCCCTGTTCTGGAATCCTAATCGGTAAGTCGTTGAGTAGTTTGCGCCGTTTTCGAATAGACGCCGCTACGGAATTTAAAACTCCCCTTTAGCGGGAGATTTAATGTTGGAATTAAATCAACAGATCGAAATCTTAAAAATATTTAATATAATATGATCATATAGTAAATGAAACTACTATAAATATTTCCTTTGACTTTTATTGTGATCAAATCAATAGTATTAAAATAATAATGTCCACGTTTATTTTAAATAAACTGTATATAACTAACACTTATGGTGAAATGTGATGAAAATTCGATTTTATGAGGCGCACGTGTAAATGTGAGGACAGATCTATTATTTTTTCTTAATGCCATGCGACAATATTAGAAAATAGCAAGTTACTTGCTAATTAATCGAAAAACTGTTTATAATTCCGACAATATTCATTTTTCAACTCATGTTTATTAGTATTATCTACGCTTAATGTTTTGAGCCCTTTTCTTAACATCCTGTATAAAGCATAATCATCGTACATTTACCGTATATTCGAATTCATATATATGTATATGTATATGTAAGTCCGTTGTATCGTTAAAGTAGCCAGTTTAGTCGATAGCTATAAAACCACCATTCGGACGAGTCTGTGTTGAATTACAATTAGTACGCATGGATATCGTAAATGCGATCGATTAAAACATAAATACAATGAGTGTTAAACATATCGGTCGCGATCAATGGTTCGCTTGATTGGACCCGGCCGATTTTGTCCCGTTTTCATATTACCGACGATGAGTGATAGTTCAATGTTCGAACACTTCAAATCCTGAGTGTTCATAGTCTCTTATATGTCTACGGCTCTCTATCACAATATTCGTTTCTTTTTTTTTCACTTTATTTATTTATTTTTTTTTTTTTTTCGTGAAAAACAAGAAGGTTCGTTTAGATTTTAAATTAATGTGTCTCGACCTACAAACTTACGACATTGTTAATCGATCCCAAAAGGAAGGAATGCATTGATTTATAAACATGATCACCTTTTAATACTTTCTCTGACGGGGGCAAGATATACACATGTTCTTCGATTCGTTAGCGTTTATCTCTAAAAATAACAACATTATTTTTTGAGCTTCCAATGCGTGGCATTTTTGACGAGAGGTATTATCCTTAAATAATTAACAACAAAACGTTCTCCCCTATCTCGGAAATCAGACGATCCGGACTCTGAGCATCGAACATGAGAACGTATCGCTGAATGAACGTTGTTTGGCACACGCATTCGCACACAGTCTCGAGTTCTCCTCAATTTTCTCGCATATGGAATTCAAACTGCACGGACAACGTATTTTTTTTTTTTTTTTTTTTTTAGGTCCATTACTGATATTACTTATTCGACGCTGAATCGCTCGATTTTCCTTCCCAACCGCTGCGTTGTTTTACGTGCTCGGTCTTTTTCTTTGCCATTATAACTTACGAGCGAATGAACAATCATCCAGTGAGTGAATTACATATGAAAATGCGTTACTAGACCGTTACAGTTAATGTAGATATATTGTCGGATAGATCGGAAACCAGTGTTCTCTTCGATAATACGTTTGTGGTCAGTAACTCGATTTTACACAGCCTATGAGAAAGTAAAAGCAATTTAGGGATGCAAGCCCCTGTTGAACCTTAACCAGTCAACAGCGAAAGAAAGTCTTCCCTAATTTTAGTCAAGACATCCTTTTGTACATTTTACATTTGTTCTTTTTTTTTTTTAGTTCATTAAAATCCACAATTTTAAGCGTATTTTTTTCTCATTCATTTTAATTGAAATCGAATTTGAAACAGTAAAAATCTAGACGAGTGCTGTCCAAATGTTTGCCCTCGTGGAGATAGTATTATCGTAAAAGAAAGATGTAAAGTGGATAGATTAGGCATCTTCCTTTACTTATGCTATTTCATAGGAAACCGTGTCGCCTTGAACCACGAGGGCATCTCGCAGACAAATCTAATCTAAATTCTTCTTCAAGTTGTTCAACGACGACGACGACTTAATCTCGGAACAAACCACAAACGTTTTATACATATTGGTACCACAGTACGACTTGGTTGCAACACTTCTGCCGATCATTTTCTCTTGTTCGACCCTTCGTTTAACTACGTATTTACAGGACTAGAGTCTTATTTAAAATCTCGTGAGTCTGCTCGACTACCGTTTCAAAATCCTTGTAAAATTTTCATGGAACTTCGATGGGAATTGAAATGACGATAAATGCTTTTCACCGAGGCATGGAAACGTACGATGAGATGAAATAAAGTTAAATGACTGATTGAGATTCGTAAAAGCTATTACGTTGTCACGATTGCCGAGCACGCAATGAATTATGAACGTAACATGCATTTACCTTAGATCTATATTCTTAAATTCTATGGCGTGTAATTAACGTCCACAATATAATTAGCTACTTAAGGTCGTCGATTCAATGTGTTCGTTTAGGTATTAACTACCAAGCACTAATCCACGCTGTACCGTCGAAAGATTATTCAACGAATCCTAGGTCTTTCTTTTTCGATATTATTTTCACCGGTGTATTTCGACGACTATCGTAAAGGTTTAAGTGTCCAATTGAGAGTAAAATTCGCGCAGAAAGCTGTCGAGAGTGTTCCTCGCAAGTGGACGCCTTGTCTGAGAATAGCTGTCAGAGAGCGTCATTCAACTTTCAGAGTGCGAACATGTTAATTTACTCTTAAATGGATACCGAATATTTGCTCACAAAATACGAAACATTTTCAAACAACCAACATTTTCTATAGAATAGGTTGATTGTCACATATAAAATCTTGTATCGAATTAGATAATACAGATGAAACAAAAACTGTCGTCTGTGAGTGTACGTTTGCAAGAGAACAACATTTAGGAAGTTTATTCTACTCTCTTGCATGGCAGGATCGTGTTTCTTAATTTATACAGAACTGAATCGTGCCAGCCTTCACCTGTATTACTATATTTAGAGAAGAATTCGGGAATGGCGCATTAATTCGATGCGTTAAAGTTTCCTACAACTTACAAAAACAGTGTTTCGTTTATTTTGCAAAATGTCGAGGTTGGTCGAATGTTTATCAAAGCTTTTCAAAATTCTGCACTCCAACAGTGTGATACTCTCTTAGCTTCAGTTCCCTTTCACGATACGTTCAGAACAGGGTACAGCACCAAATCGAAGAAAAAAAGAGAATCATTCGATAAAATAAACTGGAAACAAACTAGCCACGATTCCTAAGTGATGGAAACTTGACAAATTTGTTCCCGTCCCTGTCGTCGCGCCAACGGTGTGACTTATCCATCAATTTGGGTTTGCTAAGCGAAATCGATAATTGAACGTTTGCCAATACAGTTTAGTGTGAATTAATTCGTCTTAAGCGACGGTTCGCGCATCTACTCAATTTCATTTGGACACCAGCGGATTGCGATATTGTTAAACCCTGTTTAGTGACATAATACAAATGCCCATGGTAATAATTAGCGATCATCGGTTACTTAAAGTCGCAGCAAAAATTAAGGTTTCTTAATGAGTGACATTTTCATGCTAATGGTGCCAGAACTCTGAGAGAGAGACAGAGAGAGAGAGATCAATGCTCGAAAACCGATCACTCGACGCGAGTCATTTGGTTTGGCAGTTGCTAATCGATCTCGTTAACGTTTAATTATGCTCCTTCCACACCGTTCTCTTATCCTTTGTTATCTAGCATTTCGTGTATTACTTAATCAAGGGTGGCTCTTTGTCGCAACGATGTACAAAGCCGTGTTGTTGCTGTTGGGGTCATCCACTCGAATGCTCGGGAAGTAGTATGCTGACCGATTTGCGATTCCCGGCTCCGTTGCTAAGATTGCTCGCGTTGCTAATATTACTGACGTTGATGAGATTGGTAGGATTGCTGATGTTGTCCGTTGCGAGGGAGGACGGTGATCGATGGGAAGGCGCTACCACCCGTACTTCCGGCCGTGGGGAAGCTTCTCTCAACGGGCTACCCATGTTTACTAGGTCCTCGGCATTTGCCAGTGTGGCCGTCCTAAAAACATAAATGCTCGATGATTGTTTTCCAGCTAAGTATAAATTTTACAAGATCAATTTACTTGTTACGCTACAATGTTTCAAGAATTTGTTATTTTTAACTAACTCAGAACGTCCGGCATATAAACTGTTATCGTAAGACTGAGGTAGGATGCGACGAATAAAGAAATATTGCCCACCTATGTTGCGGAGGTGGCGTAGGCGTTCTTGATAAAGGGAAACTGGCCACTTCTCTCGTCACTGAGAGCGACCGAATCGATCCGAATGTTTGGTCCGGCGATAAATTAGCACCGACACTCTGCACCATCCCGCTACTGAAACAGACCAATTTATTTACATGAATTCAGTTCGTCAAACGCAGGGAGGGGTGCATCTTTCTTCGATTGCTGCGCCGATTCCTGCAATTAGTATCCCAACAATATTCGCATATAATATTGCGCGATACTTAGCTCTCTATCTTGCGAACCTGCAATGGAAAAAATGGCGAAAAGGATTCATATATATGGAGCCTCTTTTTTCATTTTGAAAATAAATCAGGCGAGCTAAGATAAATGAAAAAATAGCAGAGCAATGTAATTGTGTGTCGTGTACGTAATTGAAATTTGAATTTAAACTAACAAAAATGATATTCTTTTAGGGTCAACGGGAGTGACGGTAGCGCCTCTAACGGAGTGGCAGTAAAACACATGGAGGATGGTGCTGTCCTTGTCTCTCTACGCAGGAGAGGTACTGTCGAACTTTCCAGAACTGTTCTAATCCAAACGTCAGCATCCAACTAAATAAGGAAATTTCGATGGCGCTTAAATGATAAAGCCTTAGCAAATTGTAGGTAGAAAATATATATTTGGTTATAACTTTATAAATGAAAGAACTCAAACAGCAGAGTGCAATGTAACTGATTAACTCTCTTCTCCTTTATGATAGGAATTCGTTTCAAATGCGCAATTACATTATGTGCATTCTTATTCATCGAGCAATTTGATACGAGAGGCGTATACAGATTGCAATCTCACCTGACCGAACCCGAAGTTACCAAGAACGGCATAGGTGTTGGGCACGGGCTCAATGGCGAACTGCTCACCGAACTTCGGGTGCTGCTTAACACAGAGTGTGGACATTGCGGTGGTCCGACGTGTACACCTCCAGATGTGTTTCCTTTACTCGAGGAACGTCCTTTCAGGCAGGGAATTCTCGACCATCCGCTAATATCCTTACCCGATATACCTGCGAACAAATATTATTATAGAACATTAGCAAACAATTCTAAATTGTTCTTCGAAGAAGAATTCGATATACCTCTAAATATATCTCTAAAGAGGGAAAAAAGCAAAGCCTTACTCATCGATTTGAATGAAACTCGGTGAATTTATAAAACCATCTATGATACAAATAACGGGATACCTGTTTACGAATTTATAATAGTTTGCGCACGTTCTAGTTGCACACTTGGCATACCTAATTTACTCACCGTCCATAAATTATTCATAAAAGTATCACGGTATGTTTGTTAATACATACTGCGGAAGAATACTCGTTCTATGTGACGTGAAATAGCAGCTGATAAAGCTACCCCGGTGAATTGGGGATCTACTCAATGTCATAAATGGAGGTTTGGAATAGAGCCGAGCGACCTTGGCCATGGAGGATTGACTGAAGGTTTTCGCGTTGCAGAATGTAAAACCCTGGCTCGACACGATGAATGATAGCGAAAGTGGCTCTTTGCTTCGTCACGAAAGCTACACTTATACCCCTGTACAAAGGCTACGGGTAAGCTATCAAGGAAAGGAAACCGAGTTCCAACGGGGAGCGCGAGCTTTCCCCTTTTTCACGTTTTGTTTGCATAGAAATCTATAAACCGTTGGTCGGTTAAGGAAATTGTTTTGAGGTTTCAGCTTCGAACACGAAACCGAGATGCTGTAGGATCGGTAACCCGGCCGACTGACCAGAGGAATAATTTGATAAACTGGTATTAGCCTGAATTCCGACAATCCAGTTAGCTACCTTAACCCTGATCCAGCCTCGTTCCGAATTCAGAACAATTGACACGAAGTGGAGCACGCTCTGGTAAACTAACGTTACTGCAAAGTTACCTCGCATAGATTTTCCACGAATAATTTCATCCGACAAAGAAGCAGGAAGATCATAATGTATGTTGCCAATTTTTGGAAAGTAGACGAAATAAAGTAGGTACAAGTGTCCTTGACTCACCGAGCATTTTGGCACCCTGAACAGGACTTAAAGGATAGAAATCTCCGTGTAGAGGACAATGGAAACCGACTCTGCGCTCCCTTCTTCTCGCCCTTCTGGTCAGCAAGCAAAGCAATACGCCAAGGGCGAGCATGAGAGCACCCACAACTATGCAGATCGGTCCCAGGATTCGGGAATTCCCTGTGAACGCGATTCTTGCCGCGTACGAATCCTTATCCTCGTCTTCGCCTGGTCCACGATACGACGCAGCTGAAACAAAGAAAGATTCATAGACCCGTTTCCTTGCAATTAAGTTCTTTAAAGCTGAACAGTGAACAATCCTTGTCCGTTCTACACGCTTTTATCATCGACGGATAAAGATAACTGGCATTAAACCAATTGCATGCTCAATAAAAAATTTTCCGCGATTAATGTCTCGTCGCAACTTATCATTCCACGTACAATTTAACTTCAAATATTCGTATGTACGTGTTTTAAAGACGATGTTGTTGGGAAACAATCTGTATCGCAATATGACGTTCGTTTGTTAATTTGACGGAAGCCTCTATCGTAATCGTTGAATTCGATTAGTTGCATCGAATAAGAAGCCTTGTTCCTAATCTGAGTTAACAGCAAACTCTATGTTCCAAATAGTTAGAAGAACTGACTGATCCCTAAAGGAACGCCGCGTTGATCAAGTTATGCAAATGATTAACAGACGGGTTTCTTCACATCGGAACAGTGGATGATTGTTTTCAACGATCGATAAAATTTGTACACAAGCAGCTGAAGATTATTCGAGAGCTTGAAATCCGTGACTGCCTTAGCTGATAACACGTGCGACTTGTATTATGCAACACCGTTACAAATCTCTATGAAGTAATAATGTTAGTTAAATATCCGTGTGCTCGTTAGTTCGTAATCGATACGACTTTGGCGAATGTCACAACGTAATACTTTTTTAATCCTCCGTTCATCCACTCTGATCTTCTTCGTGTGAATCCAAGAAGCCTGTAAATTCGTTAACGCCAGTTCCTTTGTATCTCTGGTACAGTTGTATATGAATGATGTATGTGACAGGGAATTATCGAGGAATACTATGAAGGTATTCGGATACTTATGTTTGTAGACAGAGAGACTAAAGGAGAAGAATACGAACCAGTGAGCACAGCGCCGACGAGCATAAAAAGAAACCCGAATGCCGGAAGTGCAATCTGGCAATTCGCAGCTATTACAACCCCAGCTACCATGAGACCACCCTCGATCTTCTCCACTCTTAAGCGCGATATAGGAGTCGGACATTTTAATTTCGCCCCAAGTCCGCCACTCAGCGTACCATCCTCAGCTGCCATGGTGCTGGGCCTGGAATGATACACAAATAACCACACGGTTAGGTAGTTCTTTTTATAAAAGCACAAAGCAATGATATCTACAATGAATAATTTAATAACGATGCAGGATGGTTTTTAAAAATGTCGGTGAAAAATGAATAGCCGAATTAATTATTAATTAATTGTTTGCAATTGTATACGCCATCGTATCATGGCTAAGATACTTTTTACAATAACTCATTACGCAATAGAAGATAAGAACAAATTTATCGGTGCTTGTATGAATCAAGTTTTATAAACAAATTTTAGAGTCACAGGAAAATATAGTATTTAATTATATTTAAAATATTCATTTATAGCAGAACAGAAATTAAATTATTCCTTGGAATTATTTTAAATAATGTATGAACTGCACGGATATGTATATATAATTTAAAAAAAAAAAAAATACTGGGCTCAGCCGGGATTTGAACCCGGGACCTCTCGCACCCAAAGCGAGAATCATACCCCTAGACCACTGAGCCAGTTGCCAATGCCGTTCACTTCTTATTTGTCACCAGGGAATGCCGATTCGTTAAACATTATTACAATTGATTGTTCACTTATAAAATTCAATAACTAATAATACAATGAAATTATCTTCTACTAGTTCACACATCGCACTTGATTGAAACAATTTAATTACCTATAAAAGAACATATATAAACACCCAATATAAACATGTTTCGTTTCATCATATTTTTAAACATAATTATGTATATTTCTTTACTTAAAAATGTATACTTTTATTATTTTCATAAACTAATTGAAAAAAGTTTAATTAGTAAAAAGAAAAAAAAATCGGGCTCAGCCGGGATTTGAACCCGGGACCTCTCGCACCCAAAGCGAGAATCATACCCCTAGACCACTGAGCCAGTTGGATTGAACTTTCTTCTAAACATTACATACGATTGTTTAACGTCATTTTAAACAAACTATGGTCTATTCGTTTCTTCGTACTTTTATAAGTTAAAATAATACTATGTGATCTGCTACTTTCGTATTTCGATAAATAGTGTTAAGGTTATCAAGGCCATAGCCAAGTAGGACCTATTATAGGTATGACCTATTTGCATTGAAATTGTCCGCTCCGTGTCGATCTACATAGGTAATGTAGGTAGTATCCGCGGTTGTTTCAGTCGCACCAAAGACGTCACGAATGACGTCGTTGAGGCGACCGCATCGCGCACACGACGACATGACGTTCGTCTGGTTCAGCGTGGCCGTTTGGCCTTTTTCGCGCGTAGTTCAACTATGACCAAGGAAACGTGAAAATGTCAATTCCAAACGGTACCATTTAACGACCGAAGGTTAAATACCTCCTCGATTCTCAATACAACACAGTCTGCACTTTTATGCAGACCACGTTTTAGGAATTTTTCATGAGAAGTGAAAAATTTCATTTTCCCTTATTTTCTAAACAGTGTATCTGAACAATGTGGCGGTAGCAGTGGAAAAACTTGAAAAGAGCAAGGGCGACGGTTTTACGCGACGGAACTAAGCTCTCGAGCTTTGAGTTTCCGTCGCCCAATTAACGTCGACCAACCGACCCGCTCTGCTCTTCAATAAGCGAACCGACCTCTTGCCTCGTATGTATAATGAAAAGGGCATCTCGTTAAATCTACGCCGATGCATGAAAGAAAATAAGGAAAAAAGGAGGAAAATTGAAGGAAAGGAGAAAGCAGTAAATATTCTGGTCGACATGCTTGTACACCAACCGGTGAGCAAATCTTTCATTTTATTTGCCAATAATCGTAAATTTTGTCTTCGGCTCTTTTTTAAAATGTACTCGCCATTTCTATTAGCCTTTCGGATGTCTTTTGACATTATTTACGTAATTGTGAATTAACATCATAACCCAGCGCCAATTATGTAACCAACCATCTAAGATTCAACTTTCTAGATGCCAATATTCCTTCAGCGATTCTTCGATGTTTTCATACGAGGAAAAGCTGAAGAAAATTGTTGCGCATGTCAATCATCGAGCCGAACATAATGGTCAGATGGATGAATTGCGATCGGCATAACCCCATTCCGAAGATCACGATGAGATAACCCATGTACCCCCGATTCTTGGCTCGCTCTTTGCCCCATTTACCCGGATGTGTAGGTCACCGGAGATGAAGAGAAGTAACGAGGCTAACAATTGAAGCAACAAGAACAAGTACCACTTATTCTCGGTTCCGTTGATATAAATGAATTTCGACTCGGTTACTTGATTCACAGAAATCGTTACCATAATCGATCAAAGTGGCAGCTATCTTTTCGTCGAGCGATGAAAACTAACCCAGTGTATTTCGGGAAATAATTTTCCGACGCTTTCAGTTGTCGTGCAGAGCAAGAAACTACGCATTACCAAACTAATGATTCATAGCATAAGAATTTTCTATTAAAAAAGCGTTCCTTGCAACACACCTGTCTACTTAACAACCAACGTGTCTTTCTTTGTCAAAAGTAATCAGACATTTTGTTTCCAACAGGAGGAAAGCGTTTGATATATTACACGGTAGTGTTTTTGGTCTTTTAGAAGCTGTATAAGTTGCGATCGAGTCTCGTTAATGAGCGAAGACTCATTTAGCATCAGTATTCACTCGATGTGATTCAGCGTGATCTCAGAAGCGAACGACTCGCATGTTTCCTTTTGTTTTCCAAGTATTATTATTCTTCTGCGCAATTAGTAGAATGAAAAACTGAACACTTATCTAAATGTGCAACCACTCTGCTTCGTAATTCGTTCGAATTCAATTGCGAAATAGCCGATTCATCGAGCGCAATCGTCTGTTGGTCACGCGATCGATCATAATTTTATGCCTTTTTTATTTGAAACTAAAGATAAGTCTAAGGAACAAAAGGCAGAATGGTACGATAAGTAAAATGACCTTGCATAAACAGAGTGGAGAGCAGAGGAGGTCGACGACCGGGTAGCATGGCTCGCAAGATGCAATAAAGAACGCCTTTCTACAGCCTTGACTGCAACCTCCATTATGTTGCTCTCAGCTTCGTTGTCACGTGTCAATGTATATAGAATGACGTATTACTGTCGCTCTTCAACATCGTGCTATACGTACAATGTATTTAGAAACTTTAGCTCCGTTACCAGCTGCGATATTTTCGTAATCAACTAACCCTTGAAAAATCTTCCAATATGAACGTGAGAATGATTCGATTTACAATTTCATCTTAGGTCGAGTTTGCATTGGGAAAGTAGCCTGGGCAAGCAGAGGAAAAGAATTAGGTTCTGTCTTCCTCGTTCCCAGGTATATTGGCACAGGTTACCACACCCGGCTACTTGCCCGGTGTAAATTCGGCGTTATGGCGTTCGAGCTGCACCTGCCAGTTCGGGATTACATTAAACAGCCAGTAAAACTGTCCTGATAACTTGTAGACTCGTTCCATTATATTTATACGTCCACCTGCTGGGACATCTGTATATGCCCTTATCCTCCACCCAAGGAACTTCTTGTAAGATCATTAGAAAAAATGTTTTCTTTGTTCCTCGTAGCATTCGATAAAGCGAAATGCGCTCTTTCTCCTTCTGTTCTGTTCTTCGTACCTCCCTACCCACGTGCCAACATGGAAGTCATCTTTCAGGGGCCTGTGCCCAACGTATGTACCTTGACTTCAGTGGTCTTAGGGATACCGGCAAGAGCCTACGAGGCTAAGGCCGTTGACTTATTGTTCGTAATAATTGTTTTATCTACTAATTCGATGCTGTTCCACTCTGTATACTTCGGATGTGTCCTCATGACTTTGTGTGCGTGTGAATGGACGAGGTGTATTATATTTTCTAGGTTCTCGTGTCTGCTAGTGTATTCTACTGCAGTTACCAGTTTATATCTTAATGCAGGCATGACTAAGTAGTGGCTCGCGAGCTACATTCTTCCTTTCTCATGCCGTAAATTCTGAAGAATGCACTCGTGCAACGCTCGAGAATTCCCTGTTTCTTAAAAAGACTTCTTCTAGAGTTTGAAGAATGGGGAATTATCAAGCGGTTAGGACGTCGTTTTGCACCAACTATGTATGTATTTAGCAGCGAATAGAAGTGCCTGTCCACGCGCGAACGGATGACGTGAACGGATGTCGAATTGAATTGGCACAATAACCATAATCAGAGCTTAATGCGGCAATAGATGTGCGACCTTTTCCCTCGCCATTAAGAACGAACCGTAACGAAAGACGACGGTATCTCGTTACGCGTTGAAGAGCCGCGCGTTTCCGCAAAACAATCGAAGCCATGATCCGAGCGTGAAAGGCACGGTGAAAGAGTTATAATGTACGAACGTATAGCATTTCTTCTCTTACAAAAATACATACAGTCATTGGCTATATGGGGAAGGAGAATTAAGTGCACGCGCCTCTTCCTAACAGGGAATTTTATACTGTGAGGAAAGAAACGAGGAAACGTACCGTGCAGGGTTATCTCCAGCGAACTGCGACTTCTCCGTGTGAAACGGTGTACCGAACGTCATAACCGAACAGGTGGATAATCGTTGCTGGCGTCGATAATTCTCCTCGGTCCGTTGACGATTCTCGTTACCAGCCGTGTTAGCACGGCCGTTACCGAATAATTCGGCTAGTCAGCTGATCGCTCTATGTTTCATTGTTTCGCTCACTTTTCGCATTATCGATAGAATTTTTGTGGCAGAAGTCCTCTCTCTTAAACTCGCGGCTGTTAGACCGCGAGACTCGGCGTTCTATGTACAGTCGGATCGAGTTAACGTTCCCAACCCGACGTCCCTCGTTCGCTTCTCGTTGATATCGCTAAAGCATACGTGCCAACTTGTTGGACCGCTATTCGAACATATCAGATCGTTCTGTGTTTCTGCTCTCTTACAGTATCTCCGCCGCGGATGCACTTGTTTCCTTTCTCGACGTTCTAAAAATCACTTTTTACACCTAAAATACGATCCCTGCGCAATGAACGGTTCGGGATAATCACAGCGTTCGATAATAAACGAATGGAATAGGTCGAAGATCGATCGTTAACGTGAAATGCAAAGGGGAAAATTGAGAATGTACTGCACTCGACGTTTCGTTGGATCACAAGTAGTTATAACGGTATCGAAACGCGGTCGGTAAACACAAAGCACGCACAGAAGTTTAACGAAGCAACACCCGACGAACGTAACAAGTGCAATGACCTGTCACTCGCCGTTCCATTTCGTTTCGATGTTCTTTCACACGATTCACATAGCACGTACGAAATTGTTCACCAGACAATTTATTTATCGTTAAATTACGTGAAATTATTCACGATGAAAACGCGCCTGCTCGAATATCGGTCGCGAATGCAGCGACTGTGCGTGACTGTACGTGAAATGCAGGAGGATCCGATGAAAGCCGAGCAACACCGAGACAAGCCGAAGGCACAGAATCAACCCATCTCATGTCTGGCATCCGACTGGCTCCGTGGAAAGCTGGCTTGACGGACGCAAAAGACGTCACTATATCCTCCCCCCCTCGCTTTCCATCCGTCGACCCCACACTGTACCTTTCTTGTCGGTTGCGCCATCGTGCTGCTCCGAACCGTGTCATTATCCTTAACCCTCTACAATATCTCGTTACCGGTATCGAGCGCATTTCAGAGATGACGAGTGCAACGAGTGACTTTGTCATTTCGTTACTACATCTCATCCGTCAAGTATTTTCCTCTTCGTGGTACTTCCAGCATAGTAGCCGCTCGATAAGTAGCCGTACTCGAGGCACTACAGATGGTCCTTGTTCAGAAACGAAGAATTATCGAGCGTGATACGAATATACCGACTTAGGACCACAAAGGGTCAACATATCCCATAGTAGGTATGTTACTCAGTTATTCAGTTATTCAGTTTTGTCCCCCGGACATTCTAGCTATTTTAGGAGCATACGAAATCCTAGAATGCACCCGTTGGCTCTCTATTATTTATAGGATGTTCCGAGTCAATGGCCTGAAAGATATGTTCGTGAATTTTTTAATGTTCAATTTAAAACCTAAAATTAAAAAATTTCTACAAATACATATTCGGTAGAATTATGTAACGCTGAAATAATGCACAGCTATCTTGCATTACACGAGGTATGGGTCTTCAAATAATGGTAATTCAGTTATGATTCTTTGTAGAAATGAAAAGTATAACGCTTGAAATGCTTCTCAGTGAGTCACGGGAGCTCCTAGAAAGTTTATGGTATAAAATTAGATTACTCGTTCCTTACATAAACCCATACTTATTAGATATTAATAATATAGTAAAATCAAATATTTACCTACCTCAACTGTTAGCACGCCAGTGAAGCACATCGATGAGTATGTATACATATACACGGTAGTTGTGCAATCGAACGAGTACTTTTAACCGATGACGATTTTAAAACGGTTAGGTAACCAAAAGTGCATCGAAGTTGGCATTCGTGAGACGAATAAGCCAACGAGATCAGTTATCCGTCGGTTGTACTGATGATAACTTTTCGACGAATTATCGTGCACTAGTCACGAAAAAGCATGGGTAAAGTGTACTCGATTTTCGAAACAATAGACGGTTGGATACGGGAGGTGAAAGGTCTCCGTCGAATATCTAGAAACCGAGTTTCCGAAACGAAAATCACGATCGATACGAACGACAGTATCTTCCATCACGAAACGTGGAAGCAAGCTTTCCTGACCGATTCACCGGTACTTCGTGATCTACTGTTCGGTGTGCCCACCGAGAGCAACGTGATCGATGTCATTTGCACGATCAATCGTTTCATCTTCTTTTACTTGATTATTAAATGGATCAATTTCGAAGTACGCACGATTTTTGACACCGATCATTTTCCTTTTAATTGATCTCGAAACGCGTAAGTGTAAATTCAGTGTCATCGTATAGGCATTCTAGGATCAAATGATTAAACGTTCTATTTTCATTTCATTTTTAAGAACAACTAATTCATAGTGGTTCTTAAAAACTTGTCTCTTCGTACGAATTTGATGAATCAAGAAATATTTATATTTAGATCAGCATTCGTTTGAAACTGAAACACTATTCTTTCTTTTCCCAGGAAAAATGACTCGTAATTGATACGTGTACCTAAAATTCAGTTAATGTGGTTATATATTGAAGGAGGTAAACAGGGCAATGTAAATAAAGGTAACTATTCGATGTTTTTGGCAAATGATACATTTTATTTCTCTTATTAATTACACAGCGTTGGATACCGAATTCAGAACCCGCGTAAGTTCTATCTTGAATGCTTTGAGGTGAAATTTAGTCGCTATCGATCGCAAGTTATTTCGATGTCCATGTTCCAAGTTCGTAAGAGCATCGAAAATAGACTTTGATTTGCATCAGATATGTACATCCACCCGCATGTACTTTGTATGTACAATTATTCGATTTCTCATTGTTATAGGTGTCTACTTTTGTACACTATAGTAGCCGCTTGATAATTTCCCTCTTTCGAGGCTCCAGAGGTAGGTCTGTCTAAAAGACCGACAATTATCGAGCGTCTACTTACAATTAGCAGAGCGGTAGGCACTGCCCCTGGATATATACCACTCGGCATACTGTGGCGTCAAGCGGGTCATCCCGTGCAGGGGCCTGTACCGCTTCGACACTTTTCGTCCATAACTCATTCGCTTTCACGGCACCTTTTCATCGGGTTTGAAGGTCCCGATTAATTTCAATGTATCACGAAAAATACAATGATAAAATATGTTCCATCTGTCCTTTCTGTTATTCGTCAAGCAATTCTACGAGTTTCAATTGGCAATGTAACCAAAAACGAAGGTTATCCTTGAGCAATAAACGAATGGATAGACGAAATAATAACTGAAAAGGGATAGAGGGTGAGAAGATGACAAAAGAGAACGGGAAGTACTGCGAAGTACAAAAATAAGTAACGTGGAGGCCGGGTTAGGTAAACAGGGGGGATAAAAGGATAGGTCGGAAAAGAAGGAAACGCTCGAGGATGTAAAGAACAGCGGAGACAGAAAGAGAGAGTACGTAAAGGCAAGGAGGAGAATGGAGAAACTCATGGCTGCTGCTGATCGATAGAATGGAGAGCTGCGCGGTATACACTTGCTTTTCCAATAGAACATTGTAGAGATATAACGTATGTAGATAAACACACTTTTGGGAAATAATTACATGTATGCGCATCCTGCAGAGATCATTGTTCAATGTAAATCCTATTTTACTGTAGCTTCTATTTTGGATCATTATCTGCGATGAATATATAAAAGACTCCACCGAATTATTCATATTTAACTTCTTGGGTTTTGTTCCCAATATCCCAATGACGACGGCACTCACATGAGTCTTTAAATTAGATGTTGCGGCTGAAGGCTGTAGACGTAAATCCTAACGTACATCTATCCTCATTGGTGTACCAATTTTATGGCTTCAGGAAGCCAGTGGGGACTTTCAAAAATCGTGTTTATTTATATTTTTGAAAAAAAAACAATATCAGCTCACATTTTTAAGATACCGGGTCTATAATGGCCCATTCACAGACTTCCATAGAAGTGAGATCATTGATATAGACTCGTAGGGTTTAAAGGCCATAGATAGACGGTACGATGCGCCTTCCATACGGAGGCACAAAAATAAACTTCCCGGTAGAGTCTACAATCAATGACGTCACGTTCGGTCACAGTTTACCGGTCAATGACCTTTGATCGCTTCGGGTCACCTGGCAGTAGTGACAAAATGCCTAGCACAACTACTCGAGAAATAATATCTGAAAAGCATGGCGTTTCAAAGAGAATAGTTTCGCTATGCATCATGCCGATGACATGCCAACGACATAGTCATAATGCACGCGAAAGGTAAGTTGATCTACATGTGAATTGGACGTTGCAAGTTTACATATACTAAAAATCGCGTAGATCAGCTTATGTATCACAGAATCATTTCGATATTTCATTAATTTCTACTTTGTTTTATTTACTGCTATACTGGTACCAAAATATCATAATTGGTAACATGGCCATTGTGTATTATACCTTTTGTAATTAAATATAATGGCCACTTAGTCAGGTACATGATTATCATTCACATAAGTATGAACTTCTACCGTTAATCGACGCATAATTATGATCGAGGTACTTTGTATAATGTATCACGCAGTAAATATGTATGTACTTAGGTACAGGTAAAAAAGCGCCATTCATTGTACGCTTCTTCAAGTAGTGAAAGTAGCGCGATGGTTTACATGGTTACATGGCTTGACATAAAACATGATGCTCATCTACTTACTTACTTATTGCCGGCGTTCCCTAGCTGACAAGACGATGATGATTCGTCACTGTCATTATCATCAGTTTTTTCTGTCGAGGGTTGTGCTGCGGCATGGCTTCTATTGCCGGTCTCCAGGTCAGCGATGAGAGTGTACATGGACGATCCTTAGGCAAACGTAGAACGTCATTTCTTGGACGGCATTGTCGTGAAACTAGTGTATCACTTTTTGCGGGCTATTTTTCACATTACACGAAGGGAACGCAATCGTTTAGATTCACGAAGAGAACCAATTTCGTTCACAAACCCTTGCACAGTCGATCGCAAGTAGCGCCCTCCTGCCAGTGACTACAGATCTAACAAGACTAGACATGCCTTTGTTTTCAAGCGGTTTCGAATCTGTGCTTTGAGAACGAACGCCATCTGCTTTATCCTGTATAAAAATGAGAAATACTTCGCACTGCAACAGTCTACCGCACTTTGATGGTAATAGCAGATTGCTTCGATATCAAAAACTATGTACCATTTCTTATTGTCAATCAGTGTCTCGAACTCAGCCTTGCTATATTACAGCAATAAGAGGAGCAGCAAGGAGAAATTGATTCGGCCCTTCTTTCAACACTAGATATGATGGTTTCATTATCAAAACCCTGATGGTGGGGCCATCAGGATCCCAGGTGTCGAGAGTGGAAACTCCACCCGTCATTACACCGGGTGTGACCCCCGATGTCGGCCACATGCTAGGCATCCCAGAAGGGCACGAATGCGCCAGGTGTGGAGAGCTCCGGAGTGATCTACATAAGGTCCCAAAGCCCTCCTTTAGCGCCAGCGTCGGTCGCCGTGGGGTTTTAGTCCGTAAGAATCTGACACTCCCCCGCCGTCCGCTTTAATGCTTTAAAGTTCCTCCGGTCCCCATCATCTCTGCACCCTTACATCCTTTTTTTTTTTTTTTTTTTTTTACGTGGTGGAAATCTTCAGAAAGACACCTCCAGCCCCTCTGGGGAGGGGCCGGCGGTAGTGTGGGATTTTTACCCACTAAAACCACCACGGTGGCCTGCACTAGGGCGGTAGGGAAGGTACTTTGACCCTCCACCATGTGCCAAACTCTGCCGACATCGGGGGCCACACCCGATGCCGGCATTCCTCGGGCCGCGTGCAGTGGAGACCGGGGCCCCAGCCCCGGACCCCTTCTGAATTCCTTTACATCCCTTGTTTCGGTACATCTCTGCATCCCTTACATCCCTGCATTCTTTTTATCCCTACATTCTTTTCATCCTTACACCCTTTTCATCCCTACACCCTTTTCATCCCTACATTCCTTACATCTCTGCATCCCCCACATCCCTACATTCTTTTTATCCCTACATTCTTTTCATCCCTACACCCATTTCATCCCTACATTCCTTACATCTCTGCATCCCCCACATCCCAACATTCTTTTTATCCCTACATTCTTTTCATCCCTACACCCTTTTCATCCCTACATTCCTTGCATCTCTGCATCCCTTACATCCCTGCATTCTTTTTATCCCTATACCCTTTTCATCCCTACATTCCTTACATCTCTGCATCCCTTATAATAAATATATTATAACGACTGCTTCGAGTTAAGGTAAGTAAAGGTAAGTTAGAATTTCGTGAAAATTTCGAAAAACAGCGCCCCCTGGCGGGAAAAATGTGAACTAAAATTTCGATGTCGAATCAGCGCCCTCTGGTTTCGGAAAAAGGAACTAAAGCTTGCTCCATTTCTGGCCCTCTGGCGGGAAAAATGCGAACTAAAATTTCGATGTCGAATCAGCGCCCTCTGGTTTCGGAAAAAGGAACTAAAGCTTGCTCCATTTCTGGCCCTCTGGCGGGAAAAATCCGAACTAAAATTTCGATGTCGAATCAGCGCCATCTGGTTTTGGAAAAAGGAACTAAATCTTGCTCCATTTCTGGCCCTCTGGCGGGAAAAATGCGAACTAAAATTTCGATGTCGAATCAGCGCCATCTGGTTTTGGAAAAAGGAACTAAATCTTGCTCAATTTTTGGCCCTCTAGCGGCAAAAATGTGAACTAAAATTTCGATGTCGAATCAGCGCCATCTGGTTTTGGAAAAAGGAACTAAATCTTGCTCCATTTCTGGCCCTCTGGCGGGAAAAATGCGAACTAAAATTTCGATGTCGAATCAGCGCCATCTGGTTTTGGAAAAAGGAACTAAATCTTGCTCCATTTCTGGCCCTCTGGCGGGAAAAATGTGAACTAAAATTTCGATGTCGAATCAGCGCCCTCTGGTGGCGAAAAAAGGAACTAAATTTGGATAAAATTGCAGGCCTTATAGCCGCAAAAATTTCAACTCAATTTCAGGGAGGTACTGGGATGTATGGGATGCCGGAATATAAGTGATACAAGGATGTAAAGGATACAGGCATGTAAGGAATGCAGGAATATAGGGGATGCAGAGATGTAAGGAATAGAGGTATGTAAGGGATGCAGGAATGGAGGGGATGCAGAGATGTAAGGAGTACAGGTATGTAAGGGTGCAGCGATGTAAGGGGTGCAGGGGACCCCAGCCGCCTCTACACGCGGTACAAGTAGAAGCCGGCACCGGGTGCGACCCCCGGTGTCGGCCACATGATAGGCATCCCGAAAGGGCACGAATGTATTAGGCGTGGAGGGCTCCGGAGTGATCTACATAAGGTCCCGGAGCCCTCCTTTAGCGCCAGTGTCGGTCGCCGTGGGGTTTTAGTCAGTAAGAATCTGACACTCCCCCGCCGTCCGCCCCCTGGGGACGGCGGGGGGTCTTATGCAAGATTTCCCCACGTTAAAAAAAAAAAAAAAAAAACAATCTGCAGACACAATATCTGCGAAGAAAGGCCTTGAACCATAAAGAGGCGAAGGATAATAAATAGTTAGGAAGCATGGGTCTTGGAGCATAAAGAAGGACATTTATGTTATTGTTCGTATTTCATACTTCTATACTAAAGTTTATGATTTAATTTTATAATATAATTTTATTAAAGTTGCAGATTACAATTACAATGAGATACACGGATGGTGAAATGGTTAACATTAACTATTGATTTAATATTTTACAACTAGTTATTTGTAATTAGGATCAGTTAAACAGTTGTAAAATTACTGATAAAATTAGTTGAAAAAATACTGTGACAATAATATAATATATCAAAGAATAAAATTATCAATAAACAAATCCAAACTTAATAATTATCGTAGAATTCTTAGCCAGTACTCTCTTTAATTTCAGTTCAATATATTAATATTATTAGAAGACACACAAAACATTTGTTAAATTATCTGCTACAACATCAATACAAATATTATTAAAGATTTGTACGAAATAATATTATTTATCCTTCTTTGGTTCTAAATCAACTTTTTCTTTGATCGTACTCGGGTCTGCGTTTATCTTATCATGCCTGTCATTAGAAACCTCATCGTCCTGAATTTCTGTAATAATAGATTCTTCCTTTTCTGTTTCCTCTTCTTCCAGAAAGTAATCCCACTTATTTGGATCCTCGATACCATCGGAAACGCCATTTAATTCTTTCTTCAACATTTCCAGGCATTCTCTTCGTTCTTTCCATTTCTCCGTTTGAGCGAGATCTGTCTTAGTAACATCGTCTTGCATTGCTTGTTCAATTCGCTCCTTTTCTTCGCATTCCATTATGTATTTTTCGTAATTGTCGACCTATTTTGAAGTTTAATGGAATTTTTCAAATACAAGCGAATCTTTATAACGACATGTTAAAATAAAATATTAGAAGACCTTATCTTGTAGCATTAGTTCAATATGATTTTGTCGTTTCAAATGCCGTGGTAACCAAAAACATGCCTGGACCAGTCGTAAAAACACCCAAACGGCTCCAGCAAGAGCCAGGTACGAACAAGCAGTGAATACCATACTTAGAAAATCGACTGAGATCTGTTGATGCTTCATACCGATAAATTATTGTTTTTAATAACATCTGTAATTACCGAATAAAGAAAAAACTGAAATAGCGAAGTATGTTCGATTGGAACAATCGAACAATAACATATACAGGATGTTAGTATTAATTAGAACATCTACATTATTTCTGCTAAACTTGAAAAACAATGACTGCAAGGTGAATGGTTTCCGGGTGCGTAATTTCACATCGAAATACGTTTAATAAAATTGTTATGTATTACACTCACCATTATATCGTTATTGCTGAGTAAAACACAGGTACGCAGTTAACTCAGATTTTTATGCAAATAAAAAGAATTATCTCAAACATTTATAGCCACGTAATACGAATTGAGGTAACTTAGAAAATGATCTATAGTTTCTCTATTAACGATTGATTTTCCTTACAAGTTTTCTAGTTTAATAATTTAATTTAAAAAGTAAATAAAATAACGTTCTTCTTCTTGTAATTCTTAACAAAATAGTTTTACCATCCTTCGTTTGTAATTTATAACATCTGATACCTAGTATAGCTCGAGTAATAAAAAAAAAAATTATAATGTTATACGCGAGGGACGTTTTATTTAAACCCTTTATACTCGTAGCGCGTAAACTTGATTTCATTGAATAATGCATAAACTTTTATTATTCATCCATCCGCTTAGTTAACTTACCTTCTTTAGAGGTACAATGGTAGTATCATGTTCAAATTTTAGATTCCTACTTAAAAAGAGAAAACTTAAACGTAACGCGACCGGAAAGTGAAAGAAACTACGATATGTCAGGCTGATGGGTTGAATACGACTATTCACTACTGACCCCTATCGAAACAATCAATATATGGATATATCCACGTATGATTATACTGACATTCTAACACGCTACAAATATTTTAACATAAACATGACTTCCTATGTAATTAATAATTCATAGTCCTGTTTCTATTCCGCTTTATCTAACACTAATTGATCCGCTTCAAAAACTCTTATATTGTATATACAAATTAATTTTTCAACTGTAACAAATAAAAAAAATCTGGAAAGAATATATGTATATCATCGAGTTTAATCGTCGTTGATTTCATCGGGTCTTATAAATTAAAAATAAAATGCGTAATTAGTACAAGTAATAAAAAATGTATAACAATGTCTACGATATAAGATTTTAATCGTTAGAAATTTTGTTAATGTCGGTTCGCTTGAATGAAAAAATATCTTAAACCTAAAAAGAACAGGGAAAATTAAATCAAGAATACATACTTTTATTTTTACAGTGATAACTTAAAAATATAACACTTCGCGTTTCAACTAACGTTAGTCGTCTAGATACAAATTGACACTGTAGCATTAACAACAAGACTTGAGAGTAACAGTATCGTTTAGATTGGAAAACTTATTGCGTAATTATTCAACTTCTAAATTCTAATATTTAAGATGATTTTAATAGTACGATTTACATTCTAGAAAATTATACACGTTCATCTAAATTCGATATAGCACATTCAGAGTAAACAGAGATTTGGAATGTGTAGTTTCTCACAAAAGGATGTAAGCTCAGTTCTTTAGTTTTGCCGTTTTGAAAGAAAAAAAAAAAAAACTAATTTTTACGTCATGGATCTCACATAGAACAAAAGATACGGGGTGGCGGAATTTCGCGGATTTGGTGCTAATTTATCTTCTAACTCTCGCAATGGAATTGCATGTACTGCTTCGTCATCACATTCCAACCAAGTACTAGGATGTTTGTGACGTCGAATACCGCAACAATCGATACTTCGACAGCCGACCCTAATTAATTGTTCCTTAGTTTCACTAACACTTGGTTTACTCCTGAAATATTTTAGTATACCGGACGTTTTGTCCGATGAAGATGAATTCGTATTTGTGCTGCCACTATTACCCTGACCAGAAGTTTGTCGCTTGCAATCGCGATCACACTGAAAATATTCTGTAAACGCAGATTCATCAGGTAAACGGGTGTAAGCAACATAATGACCAGCTGTCATTGTTGCCCCCTGGTGCATGATTACAGAATACAATTTGTACACGTGTCGTGATTCCGATCTGCTGCCTGTAGTTCCACGCTCATTGATACATTCTTCGCAGAAGCATTGTAAAGTTAATGGTGTTGGCATATGATTATTAATTTTTTCCATTGACCTAATACAATAATATATTTTGATAAGTGAAAATTGTACATCTTCAATAACATTGAACGAAGATCAAGAAACATGAAATTTTACCCCGCTGCGGTAGAAAATCTTTTCAGCTGCAATATGAGTAACCGGGGTAAAGATGGGAAACATACTGCTCTTCGAGCTTCGTTATACCGAAGGCAACGAGCACACCAATATTTATCTCTACCCCATAGAAGTTCACTAGTAACTACTGCTCGCCTGTATACTTCACTACTATCCATTGATCTTACTTCTTCGTCTATAAATAAATGAATTTTCAGTCAAATTATTACAATTTATTTAATGTAGTGATCATTGAAAATATCTACCTTCTTCGCTGGACCTGTCAATATCAATAGGCACACATATATCGCAAAATGTTTCTTTTCGTTCGGTAACATGTTCACATTCAAGGCATGTGGTTTGTAAAAGGCTAACTCCTTCGAAATCTTCAGAAATGAAACACGTTTTACTCTCAGGTCTATGACTGCCAACATCTCCATTACTTTCCGTAAACTCGGCATGACCGTTTTCGTATTTCATACAATATTTCATATAATATTTCATATTTTCGTATGGTCTAGAAGATACTGATACACCATTCAAATTTGGCTGTACAAGACAAGAAGAACTTCCTCTTGTTGTTATTTTTTTCTTTTTTCTAAACTTTCGAATACTTCTTTTATTCGAATTACTATCCTCTGATTGTATATCTACTGAATGGTCTGTAGACAAATTTGATAATCCGTCACTATTTTGTCCAAATTGACTTTCTCTATGTCTGACTAACAAGTGAAAAGTTTCTCTGATATTATCAAGTAAACACACTAAAAGTTCGTGAGCATCCTGTTGCTGATTTCCTTCAAAGATAGGATTCACTTCTCTGGAACGAGAGGAAGGATAATAAATATAAATGTGAAATAACATTTTCATGATAGCATGTATATACCTAAGAGCTTGTAAAAATGCATCTGGTTGATACGGTTCACTGTTCTCTTTCACTTCGGCCGCGTGTAACGCCATAAATAATTCGTGTAATTTTTCAGTTGCTATTTGTATTCTGTGTTTATTGTTATCTCCGGCAGATCCAGCTAGAGCTAACAAATCTTTACTACTCCAACTACGACTGCTGCTTGAAGTAAGTGATGCACCAGTTCCACCCAAAGATGATGATTTTATCTAATATAAAAAATATATCATCTTGATATATAAAATTATGGAAGAATATTCTTTTTAATATATACATTGAAACTTACTTTAACTTGAAGTTGCTTATCATTTAAATTAGACAAGTCGGTGGCTAAGTGATGTAAATTATGTAAAAAAGATGGTGCAAATCGTAAAGTATATATCACACTGTTTAAGAAACATGTATTTCCTAAATTACACAATGTAGCTATTCTTAATCCTTCTGTACCACTACTTGACACATCGTAACTTCCATCTTGGTGATTACTCAGTTGATTACGGTAGCCATTCAACATTTTGCTTGTACCTTTATAATTAACATACATTCAATTATATATAATTATCAACTAATTTAGTCATTTTTATTTTGATGATACAATATGGAAAGATTTTAAATAATAAAATTTACATACTATATGTAAAAGTATCTTTATTCACAAGGCTCTCTCTGTTCAAAGCCTTAGGAACCTGAGAAATGTTGCTAAGTATACGTTCACGACCTGAAAGGGATAAACAAATTTTCTTCCTAGGAGGAACTGAACGTTTATCTGTGTCTTCTTCTATTTCTAATACTGTCATTTTCTGTTAACCTAAAATAAGAACAAATTTGAAAGTTTGATCATTAACCAAAATGTCTAAATAGTAAATATACATATTTTCTCATATCGGTTTTATAGCAGCACTTCATACATAATAAATCTCATTCATACTGCTCACATTAATTTTAAATTATATTAATTATTTTAACATATTACATAAACATAGAGATTAAGTTTAAAATCTATTTACTTACGTATTCTTCAGTAGGGAAATCATGGAACAAATGAGTTTATTATTAACCTTAGTTAATTAAAATGAATCTGTTGGTTTAATTAAATCACAAAACGTTTCTTGAATAATGCGAACTACATGTCTACTAATATTAAATGAAACACTGTTTCTAATTTTTCTAACGTTATTACAGTAGTCGTTACCCGTTGCATATAATACCATGTGTTCATGAATCGTATTCACGTGCATGTGCAGTTCACAATTTCACATTTATGTAATTTTTCTTAACAATTCATACTCTCGTCATTAACGGTTTTATAGAACCAATATGTTGGTGCCTGAATATAATCTTTATAAGCACATTCCTGAAGTATAATAGTTAGAGCTAGAGGTTCCTCTTTAGTATAGTATTGTTACGCTGTGCTGTGAGCTTAACTTTTAATAGTGTTGTACTATCGCGTGAACTTGACTTTAGCGATATTTAGCTATTAAAAGTAAAAATTATATCCTCTCAGTTGTATAAGTAAAGTAATAAAGGTGGTTAATTTAATTTAATTTAATTTTTCCCTCTTTTTGTCAAATCAATTGACGTGAGGGTGGCGTGCTTTAGGGACTTCGCTGTCCCTTTCTGCCCAATGAACGCTGCATTCCTGCCAGTCCTTTTCCCGCGCAATTTTAATATTTTAATATTTTTTATTTTTATTTTTGTCTGCTACATTTTCTTTCTTGCATTTTTGCATTACTTTTAGTTCTTACTGTCTAACTCGCTCCTTTACATTCCCCTTTTAGTCGCCTCTTACGACAGGCAGGGGTTACCGTGGCCGTATTCTGATCCCCCCGAGCCACAGGGGGTTAATCTTAATTTCTACCATCAAAAGGGCTGTGATAGAATACAAGTATGTCCAGTCTTGTTGGATCTGTAGTCGATGTTTATATAATGACTATATCTATACCGCAGTTCACCAGAGTCCATAACTGCGAAAAGACCAGTTTTCGTTCTTTGCGCTTCTCCAGTACGCATCTTCGCCCTGATTGGCGATACTCCCAAACGAAGTGGAAAGCGATTAGCAGAGAGCTCGCTGCGTTCCCCCACCCTCTTCCAACCTGCGCGTCGCAGTTATAGACTCTGGTGAACTGCGGTATATCTAATCTTAATTATTAGAGATTCAAAACTCAAACCAAAAACAAATGGAACTGGAAACGATACTTCGAAAATGCATTGTATCGGGTAAATGTAAGTATATATCCATTTGTTAATTACAGTTACCGATTAATAAATGTATGTTTTGTTATTATTTAATAAAAATGTATATCATGTATTTTATAGCAGAAGGACAATTAGAAGAAAAAGAAAAAAAAGAAGACGAATACTTTCAAAAAATATATGAACAATGGAAAGGCACCAAAGCTAAAGACAAAGACTTAACTTATAAAGTCATTCCTAAATTTTATTTCAAGGTAGGTTAAATTTACCAAAAACTATTTGGAAACATGATTTAATGTATTTGTACGTATTTTAGTTACCTAAAGAAGATGAGATTCTGCCGCAAAAGTTACGAGAAGAAACACGAGCTTTATTTTTGCAAAGACGTTCGCGACAGTTACTTGATAATAACGAACTTAAAGCATTATGGGTATTATTAGATAAACATCATAGTCCACCTTTATCAGGGGAAGAACAGTTAATAAATTATGAAGATTTCAAGAAAGTGGGTAAATTAGCTGGTGCAAAATGCAATCCATATTTCACTGCTGTTGTATTTGCTAAGTTACAGCAGGGTGATCCTCATGGCAGGATTAGCATTATGGCATTATTTAATTATGTTATGAGAAAAGTTTGGTTGCATCAAACAAGAATTGGTCTTTCTTTATACGATGTTACTGGTCAAGGATATCTCAGAGAATCAGTAAGTTTCATTATTATATATTAATTTAATTGCTACAATATATTGTAACTGATAAAAGAATTCAATGGTTTATTTTTATTTCTTACAGGATTTAGAAAACTATATCCTAGAATTAATACCAACTTTGCCCCAGCTTGAAGGACTTGAGAAATCTTTCCATTCATTTTATGTTTGTACAGCAGTCAGAAAATTCTTATTTTTTCTTGATCCTCTTAGAACTGGCAGAGTTAGAATTCAAGATATTTTAGCATGTAGCTTTCTAGATGATCTATTAGAACTGAGAGATGAAGATTTACCAAAAGATTTGCAAGAAGCAAATTGGTTTTCAGCTCCATCTGCTCTTAAAGTTTATGGGCAATATCTTAATCTTGATAGAGATCATAATGGAATGCTCAACAAAGAAGAACTTGCAGGGTGATTTGCATATATTAATAAAATTTAAGGTTTTTATACAATTAAATCAATGTTATAAAATCTTTTAACAGATATGGCACAGGAACATTAACTGGAGTATTTTTGGAAAGAGTGTTTCAAGAATGTTTAACTTATGAGGGAGAAATGGATTACAAAACATATTTGGACTTTGTTTTAGCATTAGAAAATCGACACGAACCACAAAGTTTACATTATTTATTTAGAATTCTTGATATTAATAATCGTGGTTATCTTGATACCTTCTGCCTTAATTACTTTTTCCGTGTATGTTGAAACGTAATATTTATGCAGCTTCTTTGTAATCTTAAGTATATAGTATTAATTTTTTTGTATGCACAGGCTATACAAGAACAAATGACAATGCATGGTCAAGAACCAGTAAGGTTTGAAGACGTAAAAGATGAGATCTTTGATATGGTAAAACCAGCAGATCCATGTAAAATTACATTGCAAGATTTATTGTCATGGTAAATTAATTATTCAACTTCTTATAAATCGGAAAAAGATAATCTTTTAATTATATTTTAATTATATTTTTCAGTGGTCAAGGCGATACAATGGTTAGTATTTTAATAGAATTCCATGGTTTTTGGGCATACGAAAATCGTGAAGCTATGGCAGCTGATACTGGTGATGAATCATCTCATGTTTAAAAGAGAAACGTTCACAAAATATGTGATACATTCCAGCAAATGGCTAAACACACTTCAATTTTGTTAATATGTATGTTTTAACAATATTTACAGCAGAATTTGTATTTGTATTAAGTGATATTAATACTGTTTGTAATAAAAATATTTTTCTAAAAAACCAGTTTACCATTAATGTACTTTTACCTTTAATATACAGTAATAGAAAATTTTATAATAATAGATTGCTGATCATTTTTAAATATATAATCATGTTACAGAGGTTCCTGACACCCCAAAATGATATTTTGTCGGTGCACAGAGAGAGTCACCGGGGTTCCTGACACCCCAAGATGATATCCGGTCGTATCTATCGTTATCCTGAACAAATATTTTACGATTTAAATAAATAAATACGACCGGATATCATCTTGAACTGTCAGGGACCCCACTGCATACCGACATTATGGCATCGGGGTGTCAGGGACCCCGCAGCTAAAATGTACGACCCATAGACTTTATACAGAAAAATTGAAACCTCTGTAGCTTTTGACTATATATAAGATTTCTTGTTTCATTGACCAATCAGAAGACTTTATTTGAAATGGCCCTGTACAAACGTACGCTGCCCCTCTTCGCAGGCAGATTTAATGATGTTTAGGGCACAGCAGTTGCTCCAAGTTGCTCCAATCCTACGAAGAGCTTCGGTTGGTTTTATGCGACACTTTCTATCATGTTTGAATCGCATATAAGTTTTTTCATAAACTGTATTACTTTTAACGCGTGAAAGTGTTATTATTTGGTCGAAAAGTATTCAGTGTGAATTTGTCGCACTTATCGTGCAATTAATATCCACACAAAATACTGGGAAATACGAACTGTCACTTTAGTTTCGTACGCGTTTACTACTTATGGCGGTTGCGTTTAAATTCAACGGTCGAAAATAACTTCCACCTTTGGAATAGGAGCATTATCATTTTTCAATAATATATCAGTACCGATATTTATTGATACAGTGTATTGAATTCACTCGACGTGCTTGTCGAAATTAGAAAAAATTTCTTGAAGCGTCGGTTGGGATTAGGATAATACCGTTTACCAATACAATGGACCCTTTCACTCAGGTAAGGCTATTACATTTAATTGCAGTATGCTCCTATAACAGTACTTTTACCTGTTTACAAACTGTTTCCACTAGTTTGCATGAGTAATGTTACCTTTAACAATTAAATATTGTATTATTAATATTTTTTCTAATCATAATAAATTAATTTGAATAAACAGAGAATGTTGGAGCGTGCTAGGGCAAGGAGAGAGAAATTAGATACTCAGTTGTCAAATGCTGGCCATGATGTTAAAAAAAGACGCAGTCCTTTAAAGGATGCAAATGCACTTTTGGCTCAGGCTTCAGGTACTAGTAGTTTATTGTTTACTAAATGTTGATGAATAATATTTTTTAATGTACTGTGAAATACTAATAAAAATTTCATCTTATAATTTTAAAGTTACTAAATCTAAAAGTCCAACGAAATCTCCTGGTAAAATATCAATAGAAAGCGTGTCTCCAGTAAAATCACCTAGAAAATCTGTGATTAAGAACAATATTAATGAAAGAAATGAAGATAAAAATAAAGAGAATGGAAAGATTGGAGTCCACAGTGTAAGATCAAAGTTACAAAGGCTTGGCAAACTGTATTCTGGTAAGCTATGTTTGCATGATACACCCACACAGATTGGTTAAAACTGGTTTCTTACACTACTGCACCATGTTACATATATGTATCTTACTCCTTATAGTTCATGTGTGAAAGATGAACACAATTGTTTTATAAGAGCTACTTCAGTTTCATGCTATTTTATTAGAAAGAATTTTTTTTATAGATGACAGTAGTAGAGAACTCAGTTCACCTATTCATAGAACAGAGGAAAAGTTCACTGCGGAAGAAGAAGTTATTGAACAGAAACCAGTAAAAAGAGGAGCTAGGCTTGATAGATTAGCAGCTCTTGCTTCAACTATTAATAATTGGGAAGATGATCTTTCGCATCCGACTTTGGTACATTGATTATTAGTAAACATTATTACATTTTTAAGAATTATGTAATAGTAGATATTTTTCCAGACCAAACCGATGGAAACTAAAGCAGATAAGATACAAGCTAAATTAAATGAACAGGTGAAGAGTGCATCAGAACCCCAGCCAAGTACAAGTGGTTACAGTCAAGGAAATAGGAACAGCAGGGGAGTTGATTCTAAAAAAGAAGAAGTAAGTTGTACGAAACAACTTAAATGGGATAAGTCTACATTGAAATCATTAGTAAGTAATTCTACCATGTTTTTAATATCGTTTGTTCATTGTATATGACTAAAGCTTTTAACTGTACTTATAAATCGATAGTAATGAGTATGAAAAGAGATACATATATTACAAAAAATTAAAGCTGTTAGACAAAAATGATATTTACAGGAGTCTCAAGGCTTTAATCGTACAAAAAGCAATAGTCGCCTTGTATATGACTATAAGGCTTGTTCTCAGGAAAAAAATCCGGATTTGTCGAGTTCATCCCCGCAGCGTTATCAGCGTAATCAGGAATCTCCGCGTCGCGAAGAAAGATACGATAAAAGGGCAGAGGATTCTCCAAAGAATAACAGCAAAAATTGTAACACCCCAGAGAAAACGCGAAATGGAATGCCTAGCACAAGCGGCTCCAGACTGGCGCCTAGATTTGGATGTAATGGCTCTCCTAAGAGTCCAGGCCAGTCTAGCCCAGGTTCAGTGTTAAGCAAAGCTTCGTTGTTTGAATCTAAAAATACTGAAACAAAAGCGAAAGATCCGACGCAAATGACGCTTTCCGAGAGGATGGCACTTTTTGAGAGAAATAAAGGAGAACCACCGTTACTACCGAAAGCACCACTTACTATGTCTATACCTCCAAAAAAGTTACAAGAAAAAGACAAGAATAGTTCATCACCAGGAGTTGGAAACAATGGAGGTACTTCTCATTTCTTTTTTTCTATAAATATAAGTATAATTTAATTGAGTTTCATCGATAGATGAAGGGTAAATATTTGTTTGTATTTAAAGATTCTTTTGTAGGAAAGGGGCAATCTAAAGCTGATATTCCTAGCAGTGCTGTGTATGCTCGTCGAGAAAAGTTTGAACAAGGTTTAAACACCCAAGAACTGGAGAATAATATTTTACGCAACACTTATTTGGAAAGGCAACGAGAATTGGATATGTTGCGTTCACGTTTCAATAGAAATAAGGAGATGGCAAAAGCAGCCGCCGGTTCCTGTATTAGGACAAGTGAAAGTAGCGAAGGAAAATCAAATTCGCCTAAAAATTCTCCAGTTTGTCCAGTAAAGCCAACACCAGCGCCTGTAAATAAAGCTTCATTTATTATTTGATTGATAAATAATAGAAATAAAAGGTAATAAATTACCTTTATTTCCATAGGATCATGGTGCCCCACCTCCACCACCACCGCTTCCACAGACGCGTGAATCTGAAGCAATACAAACTCCAAATCAGAACAAAAATTCACCGATGAAAAGACAAGGTATACATTATAAACGTTATATCTTTTTTTGTACATACATTTGTTACCTTTTTATCTTTCAAAGTTGTAGGCAGCCCTCCAAAAACACAGCAAGTGAAAGTAATCTCTGACATTAAACGTATCCGCGTTGCTCCGCCTAAACCTGGACATCTCTATCCTAATCTTTCTGAAATTGATAATACAACGGAAACGGAAACTGATACTGAATATACCGTCAATAGTACAGAAGCAGAAACTGCTACTTTAGATGAGAAAACTGACACTGAAACAGGGACAGAAGCCGAATACTATATACCAGTAAAATAATGTTATAAAACAATAGAACCGTTATACAGTAAAAGATTATATTAATTACGTACATTTACCTTAATATAGGACAATGGAACTGAAGTTGATAGCGACGAAGAGAGCGGGGACTTGAATACCAGCCTTGGTAGAAGTATTTTACGAGTAGTAAATGAACATTCCTTTCTAAATAAGAAGGTATTTTATAAATAACAGTAGAGTAATTGAGTAGAAATATATTAATGATACAATTTTAGAGATCAATTGAACCAGATCCGGACAGTACCACATCCGATATTTCAGTACTGGATGAAATGGATGAATATTTAGACGAATGTCTTGCACTTCAAGAAGCAAATAACATGAATATGCATACAGAAGAGGGACCGACGCCACCGAAGTTAAACAAAGGTGGTAAAAGTCCGTCCACTGCATCGACAAGCTTTAAATATAACGAAGGGTAAGACTTCAAAATCATAGCAACAGTGATCTGAATACAATGTATAAATTAAACTATATGTTATATTTTAAGAGCATCGTATCGTTCACCTATAAAGAAAGTTTCTCCAGGAACTCCGAAAAATGGTGAACCTTATATCGTAGATGGCGATAATTGTGTACCATTATTGCACACCGTCAGTTTTTACAGACGACAACAGTCTCAAGTATGTTTACTGAATATTGTAATTATACAATACTAAAATTATGAAGTTAATTGATTTCGAAAATTCATTTTAGACGCCTAAAACACCAGTACGTATAATATCGAGAACGCAAGAGGTTGATACCCCTCCTAATGTAACACAGCTTGACGTTAAAAACGAAGCTGTTTTGGTACAAGAAAAAGTAAAAAGATTACTAGATGAAGTATGCAAGCAGCAAACAATTATCGGCCAAGCTAGCCAAGCATTAAACTTGTGCACTTCTACTGTCGAGTTCAATGATTCAAGGGAGCAAGTTGAAGGGGAAAGACTGTTACTCGTTGCTAGTAATTATCAAACATTTTTTTAAATTATGTGTCATTTAAATAACGTGATAAATATAAATACATTCGTTATAGCTCATAGACGGCAAGCTGCATTAAACGAAGTACAGCGATTGAAAGTAGAAGGTACATTGAGACCTGTTACACCTGGCTCACCGGAAGTACAAGAAAGTGGTTCTTTGACAGTTTCTGCTATCACTTTACCTCTTAAGCGAGATCATTACCGTAACATGGGCAGAGGTAAGTAACGATTTAATTTTGTAAATAATACAAAATTTAAGAGAATACATCTTAATTTTAATCGTGTTGCAGATACGTGCCTTCATTTTGTTTGTTTAATGAGACATTTGGAAAACGTGGTTGCCACTCCTGTAGTTGTAGCAGAACCAGGCGATTCGTGTCTTCGATTTCCATCAACATTAAAACTGAATGATTTGTATAATGATTTTAAAATTACCATTGAAGTATACTCGCTTCAAACACAAGCGGAAATTTTGCCACACGAAATTAAATATCATATTAACAATGGCAGTGGATGCAGTAGTAATAACAATCATTGCAATAAAAAGGTAAGCAGTCCTACGTTTATATCTCTATGTAGAAATATTCAATTTAAATGACTATTTCAATATTTTGTAGCTAGTGAATAAAACTCCAAAGAAATTCTTAAAACAAGATAGCCGTTTAGTGATGCCAACTGTTCAAAGTCCAGCAGGACCATCTGCTGTCAGATCTCCCGCTTTTCAATTATCTGGTTACGTTATTTTTAGCCTGAGAGAAATACATCGTCAGCAATTTACATTAAACAAGGTAAACATGATAGTTTTTAGTAAAAATCATTCAATTTGAAATAATTAAATCTCTTACAATAATTTGCAGGTACCATCGCAATCTCCTTTAGAAGGACGATTACAAATGCATGTTTCCTGTGAACTTTCAGTAACAGTTGAGCATAGAGGATTTCTTACAATGTTCGAGGATGTCTCTGGTTTTGGTGCTTGGCACCGTAGATGGTGTTTGTTGAAAGGTTCCACGTTATCATATTGGAAGTATCCTGATGATGAACAAAAGAAGACTCCTATTGGAAGCTTAGATTTACAGAGTATGTAACCTTATAATATTTTATTATCTTTAATGTATATTCGCTAATTTTTATGATTACAGGTGTTTCCACAACTAATGTAGGATTAGTTTCTCGAGATATTTGCGCTCGTCCTCATACCTTTTTATTGGAAGCAACAAGAGCCGCGGAACCTGAGGACACTGATAGTCTAATCATGATTAGGAATGGGCCTACAACAACAATTAGGTAAATATTTTATAAATATAAAAATTACAGAATTAAATTTTCCTAATTACATATCATTCACAGGCATCTTTTATCAGCCGATACAAAGGAAGATAGATTAGAATGGTGTTCAAAACTTAATAAAACGTTAAATTTAATACATGCCTGGGGCGGAACTACGGTATTGTCGTAACTTAGTTTTTATTAAAAATTAATGACAAAGTATAGCGTATAAAAAGTACGCTTATATATTAATTTTATACACAATACGTACTTGTGTATACTGAATAATGCAATTCAAATTTTTATCGAATATTGTATATCCAATATGAATAATGTATATTCAAAACAACACAAGGAATATAAAGTAACAAATTATTTTATATTTTAGATATACTATATTAATCGTATCAAGATTAACTGAATAATGAAAATTCTTTAATAGTAGTCATTATACTATATTTTTTATAAGATTGCCTTCTTTTGCCTTAAATCGAATGAAAATTGTTTATTTTTTATAATAGATTTACAGAAAATTGGATTTATACTATAGCAAAATTATTTTAATGAAATTGATTGAATTGTTTCTAATATTTAGATACAAAGTAACTTTATAATGAATTTGATGACATTCTTTAAATATGAAATATTAATCGCAAATCATATTATTTAATATAAATTGAATATTCAATGCATTAGAGCTATGTATAATTTTAATTATGCGTCCTTTAATTAGTATTATTAGAATACATAATACAACATATTGTAAATAGTAAAATAATTATAATTTAATGAAGTAGGATTACTGTAAGGAAAACGACGATGCTAACACGTATACACGATGTCAGTGAGATACACAAGAACGACGTCCTAACATATGTGTCGTATGGTATTTATACATGTAATACTTCAAAATTTATTTGAATAATAAAGATACTTAAGAGAAACAAATAATGACTTGTTATTTAAATTGAAAACAACTGTAATATAAGAAAATTATGCAAACGTCGAAGAGGTAAAAGCGCGAATTTTTTAAATTTACAATTGGTTTACAAATTAAAATTTTGATTATAATTTAAATACAAAATTAAATTTCCTGCCAAAAGGAAAGGGGTATCAAATTCGACCATAGCGCCACCTATACAAAAACGGTGGAAGCTACTCAACAACTTACCGACTATGAATCCTGGAAACTATTTACCGATTAGTTTCAGTGATTACCTTATAGATGGCGCTGGTGTGCCCTGTTAAAGAAATCTAGTCGGTAAGTCGTTGAGTAGTTTCAGCCGTCTTTGTATAGATGGCGCTATGCCCGGCAGTGAGACACAACCTCCTCCTTTGATGTCTGGAGCCATACTGACGCGATTTGGCGCGAAGCGGTCGATTTATAAAGTCGAATTCAGCCGCCAATCTTGGCTGAACTACCAACTACCAGCACTTACTTTTAATTTAAATAATAAATATATATATATATATATATATATATATAAATTATTTAATATTATTTATTAATTTATATTTATATTATTAATCTTATTAGTATATTTAATTCCTTTTCTAAAAACTGTCATTATCTGCTCGCTTTAATTATTTAACCATATTTATACATATGAGATCTGAAGGAAGGTCTGAAATCTATAACGCATAACATGATCTGTGTATGTATGTATATATTTATTACGCGATTGGTGTTTTACTATGCATATATAAGGGTACATGTATAAAAACGTTACTCATTTTCACGCGAATTTTAAGGCGTGCTAATGAATGCTACGTCGTCGCCTCTCTAATAATTGATCCTGAATAGTCTCTCGTTCAAAATGTTTAACAATAGTTCCTCAAAACTATATAGTATAACTTGCCTTACAAATCGGCACGCGTTTCACAACTGAAGATAGAATTCATACTGTTGCCATAATTAAACGATGTAAATGAACGAAGTAGATTCTTCAGAAAATTTTATATTATTGAAAATTTGGTTTTACTGGGTCGAACAACAATTCTATTTTACGCGCTTCTTTCATTATAACGCAGGATAACAATCACCTATCTTAAGTTCAATACTTCCAGAAGAAAAGAAAGAATGGTGAACGGTTGTAAGGGAGGTAAATTATTTGGAATCGATGATCAATAGTTTGAAGGATATTTAACAGTGAATCACGTGCCTCAGAATTATTTTAAGGTAAGTGTAAGATATACTAGAGACCCTCGTCTCTAAGATATACTAATGCACTTATATTGGCGTGTGTCGAAGGTCGCAAAATCCTAGATAACGTTAATAGTACGGAACATCACTTCTGATACTTCTCTATTTGGAAACAAGATTGATGGTAGGGTGGAATCCGTCCTTGTCGGCCTTGTAATCAACCCTTTAATAAGACAATTACTTTCATAAAATAGCGTTTCTATGAGTTTCTATGTAGTTATATAGTTCTATACCTTTGGGTAGGGTAGAAAAACAAGAGCAATGATATAACTCAATTAAAAAGGAAATAGTTTTACCAGTGTTTTACCTGTAAGTATGGCCATCTGGTGATGTGAATGAAAAACTACCCGTTACATCCATCGATTCGTCGTCGGTACCCTCATTTTTCAATTCCCCAGTTTCATCCCTTTTTTGGCCATCGCTTTGTTCGTAACTAAAATGATATCCACCTACTCCAATATTGTTCGATTCCTCTTGTTTCACGATTGTGATGTCATTTGGATTAACTTGGGGTGCTGCTAGAGCTCCCACTATTGCTGTCACGAAGATGAGGATCTGCACAAAGTGGAATTCTTGCGTTACTACATATTTTATCAATCTTTTTATAAAAAACAATATGAACGAATAAATTATAACTCGAATCAAGGATCTTGGATCTGTTCCTGATCGGAGGGTACATCAGCATTATGCAAAACATCTCAACGACCATATTACATAACCGGCATGTAATCTGCCGATTGGAACGTCGGTGACTCGAACTAGGACCTTTTAACGCGTTGACTGCCACGCGAATTTATAAGGAAATCCCTGTCAGGGTACGCGCGCTGCTTACAATAGAAGTACGCTGGTATTATGGTATAGCAATGCCATAAATAAATTTTAAGTAATTACTTAAAACGATGTAATTAAAACAATGTAATCTTTTTAGTTTTATATTGTATTTTACACTGTCAGTCACCGGTGACTGTCGCGACCTGAACGGAAAGTTTAGTGTCAGTCAGGGATAACTGATGTGGCCTGAACGGAAAATTCAGTGTCAGTCACCGGTTACTGTTGTACTCATTGAATTATACAACTAAACGAGACAACTTTAAAGCTCAATTATAAAAATTTATCTACTCTATCAACGTAACGATTAAGAATAGACTATGTATGGTCCGTCTACAATGCTCGAACCCGTAAGTAGAATATGATTAACTACGTGAGTACCACGTGATTAACCGTCACGTTGTATAGAAATTTGTTGATATTAAAACGACAATTTTATTTAATCTCGGTTGCAAAGGAATCTCGGAACGGACATGTGTCATCGGACGACGGAATTATGATTAATCGTCGGTGCGTGTTAACGTCCCGCACGCACAAATGTCACAGTCCTCTTCACTTTCACTGTTACGTAAATAAAAATTTCGGATTCTGACTGCCGAAAACGTGTTTCCCTCGGAGGATAGCGTGACGTTGACGCGAAACGATTTCTCAAGACTGTTCGCGGAACCCACCGTCTTCATAGCGAGGACTCTTCGTGCGAGCTAGTCCTGTCCCTTAGTCCTTTAACGACGACCGATACTGATACCAAGAATACACGGTGCATCTGCCTTTATATAGCAGGAAAATCGCGGGTGTTGCATCCCCACCTGCAATTCGTCTTCGCTCCCCTAGCGGTGCTAGGATGCATCCAAGATGTGCAACGGTGCAAGTGTCCTCTCCTCGAGAGACGTCTGCATTCTTTGCGAAGCTGCTGTTTATTCACCGTTGTGGATATTGGTGTACGTATGGAATTAACTCTATCAGGTATTTTATTTTTTCATCAAATGCTTGACGACGGACCAAGAATTGATTTTCTAATTTTCTATTTCAGGTGAAGACATCTGGTAAAAAAAAAATCTTTCATCAGTTTATCTAGGACTTTTACCTCTCTCCTTCAATGGAACGTATTTGATGTATTGCTTGATTAACTATGCGGATGGATCGTGTATCAGCAGACTATTCGATCGTTCAACAGCTCCTAAATTGAGGGATCTTGTTAGATCTTGTTAATTCTTAATTTTATATACACCTATTCTAACGATCGTTTCAATTTATTTTGTAAATTACACAGAACCTCTACGAGCGGTGAACTGAGAAACGGCCCATTAATTAAAGATTATGCTAAAGAATTTTTTAAACTTGTCCCTGAAAGACAGACGAGCAGACACGTTTGATAGAAATGGCTGCATCGTCGCCTCGTCGGAGGAGCATACACACTCAAAATGGCATTTCTGTACTCGACAACTGTGCCATTCAGATATTACAATGAAACGTATCTTTCAGGTGGACTTTGCTGTAAGAACTTCGTCAGCAATGCCAAGGACCTTTCATCTCTGCACCAAGACGATTGTTCCTGTTTGCATGCACTATGTTAGTCTAGTCACGTCAAGTTCATCTATGTTTAGATCACAATAACACAACACTCGTACAGGTATACTATGATTCTTGCAAATCGACCTCTATTAGATAATCAAACAAACGTATTAGAAATTACCCTTTTTTTATTTTTAGATTCAGTACCATGGATGAAAGGCTTCCACATAGAAAATGGACCCCTTGGATGTTCCTCTAAGGAAGTGTGCTCTCCTCGCTACTGTCTGAAAAATTGAACAAATTAGTAAAGTTATGTATTTTCAATTTGACTAAAGGAAATTTAATTATTCATAGTCGTAGATTAAGTAAATATTGAGGTAACGTGCGAAAGTTTGTAGATAGACTTACAGTATTCAAAAGTATGAATGAAGTGTTTGCTGTACTTTCTTGGATCGGAGATTAACTTGTATTAATTTGTTGACTTAGAAATATTAAATAACCGATGAAGAAACAGAGGGCTGACATAATTCTTCATTGAGTGAAGTGGTTGATTTCACAGCATAATTTGCATCTACAAATTATCAGCCCACTACATTAATATTATAAATGTATCTACAGAAAAATTATAGACAGTCAACGTGTTATACAGGATGACCTAATAAAAAATCCTTGCTGGGATCATTAAAAAAAAGACAGCTCTCTGTCTGATATTTATCTTCCTCAATCATTGAGTACCAAAATTCGCCTATTTTTATCCGATTTCGAAAAAGGAGGAGGTTACTCAATTCGATCAGTATATATATATATTTTTTTTTACAAGCGTCCTTTGCAATGTGGAGAGAGTATCGGATGCCAATCGCTACCAGCGGAGACGCGGTAGCCGCAGGCATCCTCGGTGTCTTCTTCGTTCCCGGCGCATCTTCTGAAATGGCAAGGTCACCGGTAGTTACGTCACCAACTTTCCTCGGCACCTCTTAACGCGTACAGCACGACGAGAAAACTAAATGTCACAATTACCAAGGACGCTCGACCGCGTGTTCGAATACCTCCAGGCATCTGCCAACAAACGACGAGGGGTAAGAATCCGACGTTTCGCAGATTTGGCTTTCACATTCGATGCGGCTGCAGATTCCGATCACCATTCGAAACTCATTGTTGCAATTTTTCAATTCTACCATTAGTTACTTACAAATTTTTTAACGGAATGGTATCATCCCTTATTTTTTGAGGAATTTTCAAATTTCTAAAACCTGAAGAAAATTTCAATTTTTCATATTATTTATATCTGAAGTGATTCGAAGTAACGTAATTCATCACCGGCTACACTGGCGGCCACTGATCTTACGTCATTGCTTTACCCCATTGCCCTCGAGGCGGATGATCCAGGTTACAAAATCGTTAACATCTTGTAAGTAACTGCCTTCGTGTCTCCTCTTACCTAGAGAGAAGAAAAAAAATATAATCATTGTAGGACCGATCAGTTTTTATGTAGGTATAACAGGTTTTTTTCATCTCAGTTTTGGTGAACATATGGCATTATTGAATAATAATGATGAATGCTACGATAAATCGAACGGATAATTAATGCTCGAAGACGAGTTTGTGTATTGACTACGCGGTAGCTAAGAAAATATTTTTCAATGATCAATCGACGAGCGTTTCATTATGACGACAGTAAAAAGAATAATTATTTTCAATAGCGTGCAAACTAATAAACGTGCATCAATTAAGGTATGAGAATCCATTTGTTCAACCTTCAATCTCAACATTTGATGATTGTCACGTTAAAAATGACTATGACTAATTGATTAGAGGTAAACGTCTCTTGGAATGTTTATTAATATTTTCAATCAAACGGTCATCAGGAGAATGACCATAAAATATGCCATTAAACGTTATTACAAATTATTGCGACCACAATTGAATAAAATTTTACTATAATCGATTCCTTAATTATATGGCATAGATTATTTGAAAAATATTTTACCTGACCCTTATAAACTTTGTTTATAAGTGCCATAATTGGTAGCATTTATTTGTAAGATATTTTCAGCCTGTTTGAATGTTGCACAACATAAATTACATATCAGCAGGCTGTCTATACGATGGAAGACATTAAAAACGACGTTCGACCCGAGATTCGTTTGCATACGAAACGATTATCTCGTGGAAAATTAAACTTAACAGAGAGATAAAGAATACAATGTAATTGGATGCTTATTCGAGTTCTAGCACGCAACTGGATATATTTAAGAATTACGTAAATTTCAAAGTTATCCCGTATTGCGAGCCGCAATGAGATCAGGAAGAACGGATCGTCGTTTCCGTTTGGCAACAGCGAAGATCGTAATTTCTAATTAAAAAATAAATTAAATCAGGCTTCTCTCGGACAAATAGCGTTAAAGATGAAGCAGTAATCTTCGTAAACTAAATTCTAAAGATATCGATATTAAATTCTCACAGTAGATTTTTTCAAAGTAGGCTGCCAACCGCGAACGGCTATTACGGAAATGCAATTTTATCTGAGAGCGGCATTTCGGTTCGAAACTCTCTTGACCGATCGTGACTCGCGTTGTCTCTCTATTGCGACAGAACGGCTCCTCGTTACCTCTCATGTAGATGCGGTTGTACGACCTTTGCTGTTCCGAAGAAAAAGAAGAAGAATGATGATGAAAAGGGAGAAACATTTGGCCTGCTTGTTCAAACAACCAACTTATCTGACAAAATTCCGGAACCTTTTAACCGATGAATTCAATCGAGCGATTCTATCTTGATTCATACATTTTGCAGGAGACGTACAGTATCAATGATTGATTCAAGATGAGACAGAATTCATTTCCATCCAAATGAAATTGGTATTTTTCAAGTTCGGCTATGATTTATGTAGCATCCAATAGAACAACCTGTCGATAAGAGAAATCTTTTCAATAACAGAAATAGTTGCCAGGACCGGTTTATCTAATAAAGCATGATGCATTACCTGTATCTCGTTTAATGAAGTCTTCAGAGTATTTTATATCTGATAACCAGATGTTTCTAAGTTCAAAGATAACACTTATGGATCTTTATTAAAGTTGAAACTATGAATGATTAATGAGATGCCAAAGTTAGGACACCAATTTCTTTGAAATAGAGCGATTAAAATTTTACATTCGAGGATCCAGAAAAGTTTTCAAGAACCTTACATCCTGTCTGTATAATTATGTTACCGAGGAACGTTCTTTCTATAGCGATGAAGCGATGCCTGATGAATTACGAGGATCATAATGCAGCGGTGCGTGTGCATCCGCGGCTCCCAGGTGGTTCGACCTCGTCACCTTGCCAGTAGATGACTGTTTTATCGTCGACACCAGTGAAGTAAATCAATCGAACCCGTGATCGTAGCCGCAGACCCGAAGAAGGATCCGCGAAGGATTGCTCGATGGAACGTCGAAACGTAAAGTTCACGTCTGTAAACTTTAAATCGCCTGACCGAGCGGATACCATTCAAAGTGTTAAAACTCGGTCAGATACGTATTTCGAAACCTATCAGTCAATTAGAATTGATTTTTAATAAATTCTGATAATTTTCATGAAATTACATTAGACTTTCTGTTTCCAAATCGGTCAATTGATCTGAATTAATGTTAATATTAATCTCCAATAAAACGTATCATCGTTAAAAGCTAAATTGTTGAATTAGATATTAATTAAACTGGTTTTTAATTTTAAATGGAACCACGCTGGGACTTGTCCCGTTTATTAAAATAAAGTGAATAAATTATTTAAAGAAGATATAGTTAATTTAAAATCTCCAATCCCTATATGAATATTTGTTTAGCCACTGTAATTATCATAATTAGTCATCGAAAAAGAAAAAATTGATTACATAATCTCTCCTGGTACACATATATAATGTAACGGGCAAAGAATGAAATAGAAAGAAAGTTATCCATTAGGAAGTAGGAAGAGATCCATTGATTTCTTTCTTCGAAACTAATGCTCTTTGTACATACTTATCAAGTTCGAAATCTCGTTCACCACTTCGAAAACAAGGAGCCGATTGTATTCAAGCACGCTCGAAGATCTACTTTCGATCTTGCGCTCTTTAACCCTTCTTCAGATTTTCGACTATGGTAGATGGTTTCCTGCAATCATTATTTTCTATAAGTACAATTTTATCAAATCGATAAGTGCAAACTTTACAACACTTAAAAATTTATAAAATAATGTTTATAGTGAAGCTAGAGAATCTAGATCTCTGAAACTAAAATCCTACCTCCACCGATGTGAATGTAAAGTGTAAATTCCTCCTTAAAACAATGGGTAGAAAAAGAGGAGTAGAAAGATCATTGAAGGGACTTCAATGAAACGAAATAAGGTAATACCCGTTGGCATTTGAATCCTGCGGCGAATTACATAATAGAATAACTGGAAGAAGGTCTAAAGAGAGAAAGCGTATTAAGCAGCCGGTTACAAAGGCGATGCGTTTCGGTGTTAATTGAACGTGGGTAAAATTTTGAAGAAGTCTTTCAGATCCGCCTCCAATTCCTTCGCTTCGAATCTATCCATATTCTACTTCTAAAAAAAGAAATGAACTTGCGCTCTGTTTTAGAATTCATGGTTTGAATCGTGGCTTGAATCATCTTTGACATTTTTTCAAGCATCCTCCGAGCCTGAATTCTTACCGCACATTAATTTACTCGCGAAAGTTGACGTTAACGACGCTTAAACAAGTTACATCATTGTCCATCAATTTTTGAAATCATCCTCCGAGCGTCGGATATTAATCTTCGAAATTTCAGAGGACCGTAGGTAGTCTATCATCACCGAATCAGTCCGTACAACCTCAACCTCCGATTCACCTGTAAACGATGATTTTGTAGTTAACGGATAAAGGTGTAGGTTACGTGGTTACGCGAATTATTCGTTTATGTCGGTGCCGGTTCATCTGCCGACAACGTGGTGGCATTTAACCGATCCGTGCCATCGTGTTCAGCAGCTTTTATTACGCAAGAAGCGCCTTTAACCGGCGGCAACGACGACGAGAACGACAACGGCGACTAAGAAGATGAGTACGTCGAGATCGCGTCGGTCCATCTCGAATTATTGCGAAATTCTTCGCTTGAAAAGTTTCCTTTTATTCCTTTGACACTTTATTGCTTTCAATAGGATTAGCTTGTTAAACGAACGATAGGCGTATTCGATGTTATAAGAGACTTCAGACACAAAGGGACCGTGTTTAACCCTTTCTTTACGACCTTGTTAACGTCGAAGGTTCGTTACTACCTGAAGATGGATTGATGGTTTCGAGAGAGAGTGAAATTTTCTGGGAACCGAGACGAAGATCACGCACGTGGTTTTTTGAAACTGAATTCTTAATTCAGGCTTGCGTATAAGCCGCTTGTGTCGAAGCGTTATCTTTTATTGATTCACTTAAAAGGTAGATGATGTAGCTTTCTCTTGTGTAATATTTAAAGAAACACAGTGCTTCTGTTAAGCTCTTAAATACTTAATAGCAGAGCTGTTACTGAAACATTTTCGCCCATTGATCTTCTGGATTCATCCCTGAAAAACAGAAGTTGATAAATTAGAATCTAAAAACTTTTTAGGACGGAATTTCTAAAGGCACGTTTGCTTCTTTTCTGAAGGCGAATTTCTGAATAGCAAAGCCACGAGAATTTTTCTTTCGAGTTTCCATTGAACACGTTGCCTTTGAACAAAGACTGCTTAAAAATAACGTGCAGACACTGCATTCTGTGCTTCCATATTTGTATCTCTGCCATTTTAACACCTTTGTGTCTTCGCCATTTTAAATAACAATGGCGTCGGCGTACGCCGTCTCGCGACTTTACTTGTTCCATTATGAAAGACAAAAGCAGGAATGATTTTTCTGAAAAGGGTTACAGAATGCTAAAGACTGAACCATGTAAAAAACATGGAGTTTATCAGAATTCGATCTCTTTTTCATGATTTTCTGTGACATAAACCGTAGGTCATGATTAGATCCATTCCTAAGCTTTAGGGCCTAATACAAATTTTAGAAACTCACGATGGATTTGAGAAAAGAACAGTAGTTTGTTTGATGCTTAAGTATCGGTGGATCAGAATAGGTCGTATATTCTAACCTGTGAAGAAGATATCGCCTCGTCTTCAAACGAAAGTAAGTTATCCGATACAGCAGATGCTGACATGGACGGAAACTTTCTTTCTAATCCGACGGCTATTTATCTAGCCACTAGTCTAAACGAAGTAGGAAGACGACAAGTTCGGTGGTCATAGCTCAATGCTGATACGCATCGCGACAATCAGCTTGTTAAAAATATTTACATAAGAGAACGTAACATCTGTTGCACGAACCGCGAGATCGTTAGAATAGATATCAGTGATGGGTTCAAGTCAACATCGGATCTAATGGAATTGACTTTGCTCCAATACTATCTAGGTACTTTCTTCGTGGTAAAACGTGAGTTGTATCCCTTTCTGGAATCTCGAAGAATCTTTATTGCTGTTACGTTAAATCCTTTACTAACAGTCCCAAGTTTTTGCCCTCTAATCGAAAGAGGATCCTCCTCCGCTTCGTGCACAATCGATTATACAATATCGTCGCGCCTCACGATGAACCCTATAAAAGAAAGAAAAGTCACGACCCGTGCCGATGCACGAGCCTATACAAACTCCGACGATTATCTAATGTCGTACCGTCTATATTTACGACGAGCAGAAGATACCGTGAGTCGGGGAAACCCCGAAACGAAACCTGATCAACGGAAATTTCACTGAAAGTATGCGCGATCGAAATTGACGTGATTGATTTCGATATCGATTCCAGGTTGAGGATAAAAAATTTTTTAGAAATGAAAATTTCCTTTACACGTAACGTTATTATTGATTCTGCGAAATTAGAAAGGAAATATTGTGTTTTTATGTTAGAAAGTGGATAGAAGTGAAATCAATATGAAATAGTCAACAAGAGAAGGAATGAATAATATTAAACGTAAACTGATTATACAATTACCACTGAAGAATCTCTTTCCTCCATTTTATACGGTCATTTTACAGTACGTATCATTTAATGGACCTTGATTTGAGCATCGTTGAACCACTACTCTGCTCCTTTTGCCTGTAAAAACGTAACAGAAATTAATTATGTAAGAGCATTTACAAATTTCAGTAAATTAAATAGCAATCATTCACTTTGGTAATTACTTAACACAATTTATTTACTGTTTCATCAAGAGGAATTTTGAGATTCTATATATATGATTCACTGAAATTCCTCAAAGACCTGTTGATATCCAGCCTTACCTGTCGCAGGATAATCATGATCTCAATTGACAGCAAACAACTTATCGATTGCACAATCATATTTCAAAGTTGTCAATGATTATATTTGATTTTTATTTGCCACGAAGTGAAGAAGCTGCACCACAAACTATTACTCGGCAATCGGGTGTGCCTTTGATTACGCCGATCGTCCCTCAGCTTTCGATCAATTACAAGGATACAAAAAGCAGAGAAAAAGAAAAAGTCATTAGCACAGATGGTACAGACAGCGAACATCTTCTCGCATCGGAAACATCTTTCTTCCTTCTCTGCATCGATGCTCCTTCTTTCGAAGCATTAGCATAAGCGGCCAACTCGCGTTACGTAACGCTGGAGACTTTCTTTTCGAACTTCTGCACCTACTTCTTTCCCTTCTTTCATCCTACAACGGCAGCGTTTTCGATGATCTCCCGGAAGAACAGGTAACATAAGGAACGACAAGGTCATCTTGACGCAATCATCTCGCTCATCTCGGTGAGCTTTATTTTTAACCGTTCCGTCTATGAATATATTTGCAAGATTTATACATTTGTCGTCGTCGAATTCACGATGTTTTGACGGAATGACGCGAGGACTTCATGAAGCAATTAATGATTATCTCATTCGATGGAGAAGAAGATGCTGAGAAAGATAAAGAATAGTTTTGGAATTTTATTAGTTAAAAGACCTGTTAGCAGTATATACAAGTCTATTTCTATTTCTTTTTCCTTCATAGGAATGAATAAATTGAGAATAAGGTTTGCATATAATAATGAAGATGTAAGACTCCTGTAGTAGAAAAATTAAGAACCTTGACTCTTTGATTATAATGGCAAATTGCTCTTTTGCAAAATGACTCACTAAAACACACACTTATCAGGTACATATTTTCTTCTTGAACGTGTAAAAAAATACAGCCCTTGAATTATAAAATTTTTGCTAATAAAAAAATTATGCAAAAGTTAAAATCTTCTGATGTTGGTTTAATTGATGAGAGAGGTCTCTTTAAAATCAAATGTAACCATGTTACGTATAGTTACCCTACATCCCATATGAAGCTACCTTCTGATGAACCCAGTTTCCTGAGCCACTACATCAAACCCACGCTCCACATTTAACAAGAACATCCAGACGCCAACTGCATTCATTGTTCCATCCAAGTATGGTCAGACAGCCGTGAATCCAACGAGACAGGGCTACGGTGAAACCAGGCGATTTTTGCCTGCTCTTCCTCGAATTTCTACCTGGCATTCACTGCCTCTTCCTCCATCGGTCATCGTTCTACCATCACCGGCCAATGCCATTCGACGATTTCAACATCTCCTGGTGAAGAATTTTGGGGCCCCATCCGATGGAAGGGGGAAAATTCATATCGAAACCCGACTATATAATCATCCCGTGGACCACCATGGAATCAGTATTGTGATCTAGCTCATCTTGAGTTAACACCTGTCCTCATTCTTTCCAAAGGAGATACCTTAAAAGAAGAAAAATTACATCAATCATGAAGCTGGTGCGTGCCTTCATTATACTCTTAACTGGATATCAAGTGTACATACAGGATGTTCAGTACAACGTTCGCCAAATTAAAAAAAATTCATCAGTGCTTAATCATATAATTGCAAAAATACTTTCTTATTTGTTGATAAAAATATTGGGATCATTTTCTTAAGATAAGAAGGCTTTTGCTCGATAATCTGTTGAGGAAATTATTTGTTATAAGGCTGATTATGAACCTAATTAGAAAACCACCCCAAGTGTCCTAAGATAATTAGCTTTATTTTTCGTCCACATTCTTAACCGCGAAGAATTTTGTTTTTCCCCGGTGGAAATCATTCTGTTTATCCTCGAAACTCGAAACGTTTACGGGATCTTCGACGATTAGCATCAGACCAATTACGAGCGTGTAATTAACGTGCGCGCACAGGATCGTTATGTACTATTAACAATATAACGATACACCTCGCAATTACACGTGCTATCGGCATCATTGTTCTTCTACCCCATTGAAATACAAACACGATTGTAGATTTATATTTAAGTAAATCGCTGTTAACAGATCTATGTTTCGTTTATGTAACCCAAGAGAATTAGATTTCTCGTAATCGAGAAGACAGTGACGAATCGGAGTAGTTAAACGAAAAAACGTGGTAATTAGTTTTTAAAACCTCAACAAATTAATCGGACGATTAATTTTTCTTTCGTGAGACTCGAGTGTGATTATTTTAAAAAGAAATTATTAGTGCATCTTTCATATTTTCATTACTTGCATTACATTTCCTGACCGAGGTGTTAACATTCTCCTTTCTTCACAGATCGTAGCTCTCGCTGTCGTCGTCGCTGTGGCCTATGCTGCTCCTCAGGGTCATCCCGAAGAGGTGGTCCTCGTCAAAGAAACTCCCTCAGACAACATTGGACTCGGTGGTTACAATTACGGCTATGAACTTTCTAATGGCCAGGCTCATCAAGAAAGCGCCGAATTGGTAAACCAAGGAACCGAAAACGAAGCATTGGCTGTTCGTGGTAGCTTTAGCTGGGTTGACCCTCAAACCAGCATCAGATACACGGTCAACTACGTCGCCGATGAGAATGGTTTCCAACCACAGGGCGAGCATATCCCTGCTTAAATTGTACATACTAGCTTTAAATAAATATCACTCTTAAGTATATCATTGTTCAAATATTTATTACCACCTGTAAAACTACCCTGGACACCAGCAATTATTGAAGGAAGTCAAAAACCATTTGCCTGCTCCTAAAATCCTAATAAAAATAAATAACGTGTACTTGGGCCGAATTTATACTGGGCAAGTCTTTTCGTCCCCTGGTACCGGCAAAGTTTATTTGCCCAATATAAACTCGACCTAAAGTTGAAAGAACTGATGACCCCAAATAAAAATCCTAATTACATCAATGGCTCCTAAGAGAACTAATATAAAATCTCATGTACCGTTACTGTTACTAAGGTGCTCTGCCCTAATGAATGATTATACCTGGGTCTATAAAAACAGTACTTGTTATTTGGGACGCTATTATATGTCATCCTTTGTCTAAAATTGTTAAAGTATATCTATCATATCAGTTCTTAAATCACACAATCACGTAGAGGTCCTAGACCTAGACGTTCCAGAGGCTGAAAAAATTGGAAGGTCGTTAGCACGGCAAAACTATTTGTCCTGATAAACTCTGATTTACGATGGTACAAGACTACGAACATCTCCTAGAAGACTAATAATACATAGTTCTTACTTTTGGACCTTCCTCTGCACAAAGGTTAAAAATTTTCTGGAGCAGCACCCCCACTAATTTTAGCTACGAGCCGCCACTGCTCCCTAGTTACCTAGGTTTTCCTTTCCAGACTTATTCCGGGAATAACTTATGCAGGAAGAGGTAAGTAGATTCATAGTGGTCTCTTTCGTAAATAAGGATGTAGCCTGCGACTCCTACCTCCTTAAGAATTGCGGAATATTTGCTTGCTGGCTGTTGCCACCTTTCTGCAAAATGAAGATGTACGGTTATCCTCCATACCGTAATACATAACTATCGTAAGATAAGAAGGCTTTAAATTAATGAGTATACCCAATGCCATTCTATATACTTTCTCCAGTGTTTTCCTGTGGAATTCCTTGAGGTCTACTATACCACTGTAGCAGTCGTTAGCTGGGGATTCTCTGATGGCTTGATTACCATACGGGATTTTAAAAATTCTGTATTTTTATTCTGCATAGACCCGATGTAACTTTCCAGGATTACCCTTGGGCCGGGTATCCACTTGTGTCAAACGCCCGTATCGTACCACCGCACCGTTGCGTATCCATTTGAAGAGGCTCGGTCAATATTTCTTCGTTTCTTGAAAGAAACGGTTCGGGAATAGGACTGGGCCATTACAGGCGGGGAGTTTCAGTTTGCTGCGTGCTGTTTCCTTATTGTAGGAATCCGTCACTTAGTACTGTATTACATCTGCAAGTTAAAGGAGAAATTTTGGGAATCGGTTTATAACTTAGGGAAATAAAATACGGAAAAAATATATATTATTAAAAATATTCGTTTATTACTCGAAAAGGTCATCATTTATTACCCTTGTTGCTTTCATCGGACTGGTACTACCTGTGTACTATGCGATTTCGGTAACTCCTTCGGTATCTCAGAAGAGATATCTTACTTCTTAGGGAACTTGGAGGATCTCCTTGTAAAAAGCATCCCGTTTTGTTCGAATCGCTTGAGAGGGTCTGGAAGAATTATTTTACGATTAGAAAAATACTGGGCTATAGACACATTTGAAATTTGTATAATATGTTCAAAATAAATTATTTTATGTAATATACCTCTGTAGAAGATTATAAGCATGAAATAAAATTCTGTACTTTTCACGATAATCAGCGCTTTCTAAAAATCACCTCTTCCTAGGTGTCCTTTCTCCAATTCTTTTTTTTTTAACTTACGACATTATTTTTTATATATACATACATCTAAGAAAGAATATTTTTTGTCCACTCTATGTAATAATAATAATAATAATAATAAATGTTGTATCAAATATCTTATTCTTGGAATTAATTTAAAAATAATTGATTTTCTACCTTCACCTTCAAACAATTTGACTATCTAATTCTTTACATTACGTTAGAAAACAATAAATTTGTTACGGTTATAAATATATAATGGCATATTATCTGAATATTAATACGAGTTACTACATAATGTAATTTCTCATTATTTTCATAATGAATTATTGACTCTTTTGCAAATTAACCTTGCTTAAAACTGATTTAAAATCGCATAAAATTTGGAGAACTTTAAATTTCGACACTTATGTAGATACCATCTCATGATGAAGGTCGATCAACGACTTTGTATCTAATATAACGAAAGAAGGTGAAAGGTGAATTTAATATGAAAACGTTTAAAATTGGGAAGGAGGAGAGTTCCTATAAAATTGCAGATACCTCTCAGTGTCTATACAGTGTTTTATACGAGACTGACCAAGCACACCTTCAAAATGAGAACCGTAAGTATCAGAGGAATCCATATTGGTTCAGAGCTCATTTAAACTTGTTTTACTTTCAATACAATTCTTACCTATAATTCTTACCTTTTAATAACGTAAATCTGTTTATAATTAATTACCATCCCGTAAGAGTTTAACTTCTGATGAAATCATCAAGTATGTAATTAAATAAATTCTATTTCTTTCAGATCATTGCTTTCGCTACTCTCATCGCAGTTGCTCTCGCAGCTCCACAGCAAACTGTACCCCAAGCAGTACTCGTTAAAGAAACTCTCTCTGATAATGTCGGTCTTGGTAGTTACAATTACGGTTACCAATTATCCGACGGGCAAGCTAAACAGGAATCCGCAGAAGTAGTTGAGGGAGGAACTGAAGGTCCATTCTTGAAGGTTCATGGCAGTTTTTCCTTTGTTGATCCACTGACCAACGCTGCATACACTGTAAATTACGTTGCGGACGAAAATGGTTTCCACCCTCAAGGAGAACATTTACCAACTGTCTAATTTATTAAGTCTGACTGCTGTCGAATTACCGGAAAGATGATTACCGTCATGTTACTGGAAAATTGTTAATTTGTTACAATCCATGACTGAAATAAAATTACTGTAAATATGTACTTTTACCATTTTCGTATCACCTCCTGCTATATCAACTACAGCCAAAACCTATCTTTAAGCACCATCTATAAGTTTTACTGAAAAGCAAGTTGGCACTTACACGTTGCTTGTAATTGCGGTATTTGACACGTCGAATCTCGTATGTTTCTTACGCGACAATGTGAATTTTTTTTTATAAATATTTTTATTACTTTTATTAACTGTAATAGGCTGTTTTAAAGTGCAGAACTCAAGCATGCAATCATAATGTACCGTATCCATGTTAATATACCTTTCAGTGATACACGATTGTATTAAATTTCTTATTTTTACCTGTCGATTAAGGTTAAAAACATCTGGAATATTTTTGTGCAATGTGACTGATCAAAATTAATTGAACATGCCGAAATTTAGAATGCTTCCGCGTACCTCGCGGATCGTGGCATTATGCTCCGCTGCAAATTTTATAAACGCGGCGGATCGCGTTATAATGCCTATAGCGATCGTTCCGATGACTGATGAATTTAAGTGGAATTTGCACTGGCAAGGCTGGATACTTTCTGCCTTTGCCTTCGGTTATTTTACTAGCCAGGTATAATGATCCCTTCAGAAATATTCACATCCCTAATCATTCATTACTTATTGTATTTGTTTATTTGTTATGCTAGATTATCGGTGCAAATACGGCTAGTCGTTTTGGATGTAAAACGGTACTAATGTTAGCAGTTCTATTATGGTCTATTAGTACAGTTATAACTCCAATCTTGGCTCAATCTGTTCCATTGCTCATCATTTGCCGAGTGGTATTGGGGCTTGGAGAAGGTCTAGGTAAAAAAGGACAAATAACTGTAGTTTTATTCTATTAGAAGATATATAATTGTATCGCTTTCAGGTTTACCAGTTATTTTTCACCTGTTTGCACATAGCGTCCCTGTAGAGGAACGGTCTCGTGCATTCGGCTATCTGGTAGCTGCTGGCTCTGTTGGGCAAGTAGTTGCCTCTGTTGTAAGTTCCACCTCTATTCGGTAACATGATATTGATTCGTGTCATTGAAGCTATACAAAATATTTGCAGTTGTGCCCACATTTGAGATGGCAGACAGGATTTTATTTATTTGGAACAATTGGTATTACATGGACACTTTTGTGGTTGGTATTGTACCAAGAAACTAATTCTCAGGATGAGATTCCATTATTTGTACCTAAGGTATTTATTATTTTTAAATTAATGTTGGATGCAAGTATATAGCATTCAGAAAGTAATATCTTTCTGTTCTTAGGTAACGCAAAACCGGAGTTTGCGTTGGACCGAATTTATTTCCCATTGGCCCTTGTGGGCACTGTACATAGCACATTTTGCGATGAATTGGAGTAACTACATAATAATGCAATGGTTGCCAACTTATTTAGCAAGGAATCTTTCTGCTAATAAAGAAAGTATTAGTTTGACGGCACTTCCATATATTGTGAACTCTTTAGTTGGTATTGGTATGTATTTAACTTCTAATAAAAAGATCATCAAACAACTAAAAAACCAGATAATAGATAAAAACTTATTGTTAAAATTATTATTATAGTTGCTGGACACAGTGCTGATAATCTTATACAAAAAAGATGGTCTATTTTATCTGTAAGAAGGTTAATGACGAACATTGGTCTAGTGGGTCCCGGTGCATTTTTATTAGCATTCTGTGCCGTGGACAATTTACTTGCTGCAGTAATGTTAGTATCATGCATCTTATGTAGCGTCAAATAATTAATTAACAAACTAATATTATCTTTATTTTTTGCAGCTTTGTTTCAATATCTATGGGACTTTGCGCGTGTAATTCTGCCGGTCACCTTAGCAACCATGCTGATATAGCGCCGAACCATGCGGGAATCACGTTTGCGGTTTCAAATACAATTGTATGTTTCAATTTTTTATATTATTAATACAGGTAATATAAAAATGATATTTTTATAGGCCACCATACCGGGTATTTTATGCGGTCCATTGACGGCGGAGTTAGTGACCGCGTCGCATGGTCGTTGGATGCCGGTCTTTGTTTTAGCCGCGGCAATCAATTTCACAGGGGCCATAATATACCAAAGTCATAGTTCTGCGCTTCCAGTGTTGTGACATGCTGTGATCGAAAGTGAGCTTGCAACTAATTATCAACGAAGTCAACGAAGTAGCATGATCGATAAAAGCATGCCGCGTATACGTACCTTCAATCGTGTCTATTACACACGACTTGTCAAGAAGATTTTAACCCTATTTGAGGCACGAATATGGCACATTTATACGTCACACATTGGTTAGTCGAAGACATATCAGAATATACTGGACATGTGTACTGGAAGAAAATTTGATATTCTTATCATTCAGTTTGCAGTTGTTAACGTAACACAGATCGCTCGTTATTTGAATAGTGCCATAGTTTTGCGCGTACAGTGAAATTGGTTAAATGATTTTATTACACCAAGTGTAACATATAGTTTTCTTTTCTGTTTGTACATGTTTTAACGTTAGTTTATAAAAAATACTTTGTGATATTTTTTGAATGAACAAGATATTCTCGTTTTTTCTAATAGAATGCAATTGTATATTCTGTAAAACATAAGACTGTATATATATATATATAAAAAGAAAAGAAATTTAAATTTCGCGTACATATTACGATTAAATGTTTCCGATGCACCCGCAATATAAAAAGATATTTACAATTAAGTAAACGATATATTATAATAAACGAAAAGAATATGTTTTCTATATCGTCTTTAAGTTATCATATTCATATTTCCTTTTTACCTTCAACAGATATGTTTATTATTCAAAATTCTACATAGGCTTCAGCGATATATCTTTTTTTAAATATTCCGACTGAAGTATACGCGACAATGCATCATGGGGTAAATTAGTATTTAAAGTGCTCAATCCCATTTCAATGAAAGAATTGTTCTTACGATTAAATTTGGTATTCGTTTGAATTGAAGTATCAGTATTGAACGCATTATTATGTCGCGTTAGATAATCACCTTCCTTCGGTGATGAATTTCTCGCAGCTGTTTTCTCAGTTGTTCTCGCAGAAGTTCCAATGTTTTTCTTTCTTTCTATACTCTGCAAAGGAGAACCTCCTTTGTCTTCATTACAATCGTCAATATCGTACATATCAAAAGACTGAATGTTTAATTTCTTCAGCATCTCTTCTACTTCACCCGGAGATGTATTAAACTCTTTGATATTCGATTCTTCTTTGTTCATAAAATTTTTCTCCGCATCGCTGATATAATTCTCCAAATATTGCCGAATATCGGAACCCATCTTCTTCAAATTCTTTTTACCATTTGTATGAATATTCGATTTGTTAAAATTCGATGAACTTAATTTACTGCCGCTCTTGTAATTTTGCGTTTGCATGCCAGGAAGAAGAGACCTGTTTTCAAATTCTTTGTTCATACATTTCTTTGTTTGTTTCATTTCGTACATTTCTTTCTGCGAAACTGTACTCGGAACAGTGTTTGTTTCATTGGTTTTTTTATTTTCTTTGGGGAACAATACGTCTTTAATTTCTACAGCTTTTTCTTCAAACGACACACAAGGGGTGTGCAACGTCTTCATCGCTCCTCGCTGCAAATACTGATTCGATGCTGGGTCTAAATAGGACGTTTGTATCTTATCTATTTCTCGTGTCATCTTCTCTAAGGTGTCGTATAGCTTTCTTGTCCGAGCATTTGCCAAATGTTTGCTTTGCATCCATTCGCTGTTGGTTCGCATCGTTTGCCAATCTGACTTCACTTTTTCTACTTCGCGATCAATTTCACTGACGGGACTAGGCTTTCCTAGAAAATTAAACCTTAATTATAATGACATTGCACAAGGAAGATAGAACGAACTGAATTTTTTAAATTTTCTTCCACTTTCGTTCTCAATAATGAGAAGAAATAGATGAGATGGGAGTATAAGAGTGGAAGAAAAAGGATTTAATTAAAATATATTAAAATTATTATAAGTATGAATAAAAGTACAATATATAAACGTTGATATCAAGACATTCAGCTGGGAATGATTTTCAAAATCTACTGTGAGTTCCTGAAATTATAAAATTCATACAACCTGGCACTAGTTCAGGTACGTACATTTTTTTCTTCATTATGAATAAGAAATGTAATTTTTAATTCTTTTCTCACAGCGAATTGTACATATTTTTATAATAAAGAATTTTTAAATTAATTTTCCATCTCACACCTCGATCTTTGACTAATTGTTGATCTGCATCCAGTCTCTTTATACGAGGTAAATTGGTGTTCTTATTGTAATTTGCCATAATTTTTTGCTTTCCTAGATTGTCCATTATAACGTCACTCTGAGGATTCAATTTTGGCAATGCAGCTGTAAGAGATTCTTGAAGATTAAAATTTGGTTTATTGCTCGTGGATCTTATGGGAGAATCTGAAAACGTAGATACTTGATGGAAATGTGTTTTTTAACACTAGAACTATGTAGATTACTAAATAGATAAAAGATGAAACATAATTTAATATATACATTCATTCTTTAGCTCGATAACAGCCACCATACGTTTCAACAAAAATATCTCGATAAAATTTATAATTTATAATATGAAACTGGAAACCAGTGATTTTTACCCCTTTGGTAGTTCTAGTGTTAATTGTAATACAGATTTTTATACACACCTCCTCCACCGATATTAGATACGTATTGCGATCCTCTTCTTTTGATCGCATTATTTGATGTCGATGTGGAATTGGCAAGCGGATTAAACTCGTATACGAAATTGTGGGTAGCTGAAATTCTTTTCGGCACCTTTTCCACCTTCTTTGTACCTTCTGTGGACTATCAATATCTTATAAACATTTACGAATGAAAAAGTGATTCAGAAGAAACGAGTTTTCATCGAATTTGAAAAATTAATAAAAGAAACATTTTTGAACACGATTTTCATATTACACGTCTAACTTTGTTTAATCTCCATCCGGATATTTTTCTTTCACCCTTAGAAGATTTTCCACCCTTGGAATGCTCTTTTGATTTGCAAGAATGAAGATCCACCTCAGTAGCTGTTTGATTATCACTTGACGAAGATTTTGATGTTTCTTTCCTGTCGATTTTCACCAATCGTGGTCTAGAAAATTCGAAATAATTAAAAACATATCTATTCAGAGGAGCCTCTGATTACATTATCTTCGCTTTGCCATATCTTGCTTAACACCCTTGGTTCTGATGCCATCATAAGATGACAAACGAATTAAGATTCTACATTCCTATAATCTTACTTGTTGTAAATATTGACTTGAATGTATTCCTTGATGAGTTCTTCTGGTTTTACGAAATGACGGAAATCGAACACGATCTTCTCTCCCTTGTTAGAAAAGATCGGTCCTTTACGTACAGTTTTCTTCTTGTTCGAGCTCCAAATTGATTTCGCCAAATTTTTATAATCACTGAAACGTGCTAATATCTGTGAATATTTTCTATCACACTTTTTATTTATTCTACGTTACCTATTACATTGAGGAGGGCCTAATTTTTTTAATTTATCGCTTTTCTGCGTATAATCTTTATTTTGAACACGTTGCTCTACGTCTCCAACGAAAACAGATAATCCGTTCAGACGTTTGATTTCTTCACGATTATGTAATTTCGAGGTTTCAGGATACAGATACAAAAATGTTGGAGCGTTGTGCGATTTATTGCAAGTTGGAAAACCTTCGAAGATCTTCGCCAGTTCCGGAAGTAATCGTTGTATCCTTTTCGACCTCGTTGCACTTTATTCTGCCTCCCAGTTTATAACCTGAAACGAAATGTTTGTCAGAAACAAAATAAAATTCGTCACTTGCAGCCTGCCAATTTACAAGGTGGGTAAATAATTATTGATGTATTAATTATTTTAGGAATTGCAAAAGATATAAGGGAAGGTACGATATTTGTACTATCGTAAAATACAAATGGGATTAAAATATATTATTGACAAAATTATATTATTAATGATGTGTACTCTATAATTATAATACTGATACCTTGCCACCATCATATCCGGTTTGGACTTTGACGATAGCGCATTTCCGTTGATCAGCGGAAGTGCCACGTTTCATTGCGTTCTATTTATTAATTTTAATAAATCATCCTAAGAAATTTCTTCTTCGATAAATATGATATTAAAATTTTTTCTTTAATTCCACTTTGAAAATAAAGTGAAGACAAATCTGGCATCCAATTCGCAATTGTTCATATTCGCTCGAAATTATCCAATCATAAGAAGAAGAAAAACATTTGAAAACATGTGTCATTTAACGTTCAAGAATCAAAAATTTCCATTAACCTCTGTACTTCTAAAATGATGTTTCCAATATAAAATACAGTTAAATATTCAGCTTATTTTTCTGCAATATCAGACTCGTAATGAATTCAACATGGTCCCGATTCAATCCAATCGATCCCAGCGCGAAGCAGAAAGAAACCTTCCACGCCAACATACTTCAAGAATTCCTAAGAACAAATGGATTCTACTCGAGCAGAAATATAAATATTTCCGAAAACTCGTCGGAAACGACGACGAATGAAAATCATCTAACAGAGAAGGAAGTAAAAAACGAAATACAGGAAATACACGTCGAGATGACCTCGCAGAGTGTCACTCGTCTTCAGGGTGAAAATATCTCGGAAAATAGCGGTGTTCTTAGAGTGTACTCGAAAACGACCCTTAAAGGGAAGAAATTAAATGAGAATAAATCTTTGAAAGAAGAGAAACTAGAGATGCCATCTAGAATTAACGAAGCTCCGGAAGTAGATGATAAATTAAGAAGTTCTTATTGGTGGACGGAAGAAGGATCTGTTTCTTCTGATAAAAAGGATAAGGATCAATTTCCAGTTAGAGAAATAAAGAAAACGGAGGATCGAATTATTGCGGATGGTCTCTTCAGCTATCCCCCCGAGGTGGTCGAAATTTATTTCAGCAATAAAGATACCGAGCCTTCTATGAGAACTCTTCCAAAAGAAGAGGACGAATGTCGTGCGTCAAATTCTGGGGAAAGTATTTTAGGATGTCTATTTTCTGGGATGAACTCGAGGATCATCGACGAAGAAACGTGTTCCGTTCGTAATGTACAGAAAATTGAAGAATCCGGTTCATTGGATACAGATAAGTTTGTTGAACCCATTCGAGAGGAGTGTCTGAATGAAATAGAAAATAGTATAAATCCTGAGATAAATGAAAAAGAAGATGTAGAAACCAAGGATTTGTTGAGAAGTGACGTGAAAAAAGAAGAACGTTCAGCTGAAGAATTAAATTTGCAGAATTTATGTGGAAAAAATGAAGATTCTAATGTTATTCAAACAGAAATCGTTGAGAGTAATGAAATTTCAGTGGAACCGAATGAAAGAAAAAGTTCAAAATCTACCTTGACATCCGAGGAATCCGGCGATTCCAAATACTCCAAAAGTGATTTATCATCGTTGGAAAATGTGACGATACTACAAAACGAAGAGAAATTGAACTGTAAAGAAGAAAATTCGAACGTGGATTCGTCAGAAGAGAATAAAACGAAGAAAATGATTGAGAAACGAGAAGATAAAAAGGACGATTTTAATACAAATGCTGATAAAGACATCTTGCAAAAAGAAGAAGAAAATTTTCAAGATTCTTCGAATGAAATGATGAGAATCCAGATCGAGGATCCTAAGACTGGAATGATTACCCAGAAAACAACGCAAATTATTGATGATTATAAAGATATGAATATATGTAAAATGTTAGCTAGCATTCACGAACAATTAACTCATGATTTACAACGAATGAAATATATCGAAACAAAATTGATAGGAACAGTTTCGATAGATTCAATCAATCACACAATGACGTTACAATTGTTGGACAAAACTGTGGCAAGGTATGAAAACGAAATTATATTTTCAAATTAAGAAAGGATTCATTTAAACGAAACATTACGTTAAATAATTTTCAAGGTGTAAGAGTTATCTTCATGGCTCAAACAACAGTCAAAAAGCTGAGTTAGAAATAAAGAAGATCCTTATGAAACACGGGATTAAATTAATGATGGCTGTGAATAAGAATAAAGCTGCTTTGGATAAGCAAGGTTTGTCCATTTTATTTCTTCAATTAATTATGGATAAATAGGTAGACTATTGAACTATCTATGATACTGACTCTGCTTTCCTCTAAAAAGAAAGTAGACCAACTTCCTTATAATTAAAAAATTCTAAGATTACAAGTTTTTAAAATTCTAAAATTTTTACCAAAAATTACATTCTGTTATAGAAGAACGTCTCAATCAAGTGCAGTTTAAACCATTGAAGAATAGCCGATATAACATTGTAAGCTTAAAGATAAAATAATTTGAAGCATTCTAATAATTGTCTGTTTTTAATTGATTTAGACTATGTTGATGGAGATCAAATTATCTTTGAATTACTGGAAAGAAGAAATAGTATGTTTAATTGAACTGATCTCGGATTTGGTTAAAATGGTGATAATTAATAACGAGGAAAAGGAAAATGTTAAAAATCTACAAAAATATAAGACTACCCATCATCGTACAGCGAACTATGTCCCTACTCATGATACAAAGTAATGTGTTATAATTAAATAATTTTTCAGGAGGAATGTCATCATAAGATGGCAAACCGGTTGACCGGGTGGCGTCATAAGACGCTCAATCCATTTTGTCCATTACTTTTCATTTCTAATAATTTAATCTTATGTAATCTTATGACGACACCAGTATTGAAAGTGTTTCTATAACCAGAAAACATTTCCCAGATCGAAATCAGGAAGCGTGCGATCGAAGATTAGAAAAATAAATCTGTTTAAGAAAGAGAGCACGGTTGAGACTCAAATATCTCTCGCTTCGAATGCGAAAAGTTCCGTGAAACCTTTAAGCAATTCCGTGAATCGAGAAAGAGGAAAGATTCATAACGATGGCCAAATCGGTGATACGAAAACGACGGAAAGAGGAAGAATTGCGAAAGAATCGTCCCAAAGCAAGAACCGTGTAATTAGCACTCAACAACCAGTTTGGAAACCAGGTGGAATAGTTAAGATTCCTTCTTCGAATAGCGCGACCACGTTACAGAAAGCTCGTTCAAATGTCAAGGAAAAAATCAACCTGTTCGCCGAACATACAAGGTAATGTTGATGTAATGAAAAATATTGATCTGTGGGAAAGAAGTCAATATAGTACGTTATATCTGATATTGATATAGATAATAATATTAAAATATATTGATCTGTGGGAAGGAATCAGTAGAGTACATTGTATCTGATATTGATATAAATAATTTAATAATAATAATAATAATAATATTATTATTATTAAATAAATGTATTGATCTGTGGGAAGGGATTAGTACAGTACATTGTATCTAATATTGATATAAATAATATTATTAAAATATATTGGTAATTGAGAAAAACGACCTTGCAGAGCATCGAATGTATCAAAAAAGAAAATCACCAGCGATGTTTCATCCGTGAGAAGCATGTTCAATCCTAGGATCGTTGGGAAAAGAAGTAACACTAGTTTGAGGGTCAGTCCCAGGATGAAACCAAAAGGAGGGACTGTAAGAGCCTCGTCAAGAAACTTCAATGAATTTATGCGTCAGATTCCAGGATATCCTAACTCGAAATACGGCGACAGTAGATCCTTGCACGACGAGGCTCGTCCAAGGAATTTTAAAGAATCGAAACCTTTCGGTACGTTGAAAGAGACCATCGAACCCCCGAAAATGTATGAAAAAGAAGAGATGAATCCTAGAAACATAATAAATTTGTATCGCTTACCTGTTGCCTTTGAACAACCTTCGAAATCAATTTTAATTAAAAAAGAGAAAGAAGAAATTCCTATTAATAAAGAAGAACCAACGAGGGACGTGAATTCCAGTAGATACATAAGAAATCATCTTAATCCTAGCAATATGATAGATGCAAACCATCAAACAGTAGATCAAATTTCAGATAGTTTATTCAATCCTGAAGAAGCTTTGGATTTATCGAAACACGTATCGAGAAAGTTTGAAAATCATATCGATGCAAATGGTTTTCCAAATATCGTTTCTATAGCTAATTGCGTGGAAGATTTTAGTTCGAATTACAATTGTACAACCAGAATCGAAGTTTCAAGCCGTTATCAGTCATCGTACAACACCGTTTCATCGTCGAGTACTCAAAATCAGGCAAAGAAGGTGAACGATAGATTAAGTTCATCGATTCGCAACGAAGAAAATCAAACCGACACTTTAATCAACGAAAAACAAAAGATCAAACCGAATTCTCACGCAGTGTCGTTGAGCATGTTGAAGGAGTTTCTTTGCGAACAAGGAATCGGCGCTGATTTGGTGAACAGAGCTGAACAAGAGTTGAAAGTTAAGCAGAAAACTCGTAGACATTCGAAGAAGAAGTCGATCAGTTTTGCGGATATGCTTTTCAGTGTTGAAGATGATCAACCTTTGGATAATGTTTTAAAAGATGAAAATTTGGGGTACATGTTGGAGAAGCAGGAAGAAAATATTATTATTAATGAAAAGAATTCGGAGAACAGTGAAAGCCACGAAGAAGAAAATGTTATTAATTCTAAGAAGAATTTAATGTACCCGGAAATTCATGAGGAAGAAGATGTTATTAATAGTGGAAAAAGTTTAAAATATACAGAAAATGTTAATTATGAAAAGAATTTAAGCGATGCAGAAAATCCCGAAGAAGACAATAGTAATTCTGAAAATAACTTAAAGCGGCCAGAAAATTCCAAAGAAAATGAATCGAATTTGCCATCGAAACACACAGAAGACTACAAAACTAACATTGCAAAGTGTCCTCCGCAACCGGAAACGAAGGACGCTTCATCCGGTACCGAGTACAACACGAACAACGCTTCTTCCCAAACTAATTTCCAAAACGAAAGTCGGCAGCGTTTGCAAATCGTTCCTAAAGACCTACGAATGGTAGAGACACAAACGGAAACGAAGCAAGAGGAGCGCGTGAGAAATTTAACCAACGAAGTCAGAAACGTGTCCTCGATGACGGAGACACTTCCGGTTAGAGACAGTTCCACGGAAACTACCAATGTCTCTTGCGCATCTAAATCCGTGGCCACTGAACAAATTGACTATATTTTCTCGAAGAATTTTAACAAGAACTTGAAAGAAGCTTTCTCTAATGTTTCTAACGAAGACAATAAAAATTCGTCGAAAAGTTGTCGCAATGTCTTTCGACAGTTGTTGAATCAGATGAAAGAGAATGAATGTTCGAGCTGCGAAAGGAATGATGCGTCAAAGGAATTACGTTTCGTCGAATCAAATGCGTCAACGCTGTGCACTTCCTCGAGTTCTTCTTCTTCGGAATCCCTGAAGAATAATGAAGAGACAACGAAAGAAGCAAACACTTCACCGATTCGAAGTGTCTCCAGTGAAACTATGGCAGCTTTCCATGTGACTGCTATCAGAATTCGAAATATATACAAAGCCATCGACATCTACAAGCGGAAGTTGAAGGAGAAGCAGAAGAAAGCTGAAAAGGGATCAACTGAGAAAAGATTAAAAATTTGTGAAGGGAGACCTACTTACGTGACTAAGAGCAGTAGCGTCGATACTATTTTCACTAAAAAGGATAATGGTAAAAATGGCGCCATCCAAATGTACGAGGCATTGAGGCGAGCGGAAGTTGAATCAATTTTCACCAACGAATCTCCGGATGAAGATTTTGAAAGTATTCAATCGTCATCGTCAACCACGTGGTCTTATAAAACTACCGCTGGGAAGGTTGAACTAAAACTTTCTGGAAAATTGTCAGACACTATCGTTTTGAGAGATGTAAAATCATTGATGGAGTTTTTAATTCAGAAAACAGAGGATTCCACGATGGAAAAGAAGGTGTCTGTTCGAAAAATTTCAAATAATACATGCACCAGATTACAGGATAATGAAACTGTTAAATTTTCTATATTCTCCAGGGAAAATGTGTTACCTTTAATTTATGGTGTTATGTGTTTAATTGTTTTCTGCTGTTTGCGTTTCACAATCACCTGCGATGTTGTTTCGTGATTCTATTGTTATTTCTTTTGTATAAATGTTTTGTTAGATTTGTATTTTGTAGTTCGTGTTTTTTTCGTTAAATAAATATTACTTGATTATGCTTTTTTAAATTCATGATTAAGTTGCTGAAAAAATTACATTATTTATATTATTTTTATTACGTAAAAAAATTAAATTACAACACTTAAAAGAGCCTTAATAATTTTCTCTAAGGCTCATATGCATTTGTATTTTTACTTACTAATTAATCAAATCTGTGTCGAATGCAGTAAAATCAATCGTCGAATTTTCGGTGGTACCTAACGAAACACTAATTTATATTCTATAAAACAGCCATGTATCATTTCTTTTCGTTTCACGTATCAACGATAAAAATCGATTGAAACCCAAGAAACAGCCTACGCGAGAATTAATCCGTTCCCTATCTATTTTTAAGCCATCGCTATTTTCTTCGATTACGTAATCCCTATCTCTTCCGAGCTGTGATCTCAACCTTTGTCTAAAAACCAGCTACGTAATCCTTTTACTTCTGCAGTCGAGCTGCGTGCCATTAAGTAAGTAAAATGATTTTTAATCGGTTCGTCATCGACCGGAAATGGACCACCGCTGTGTGACCATAACCTCAGTGATTCAGTAGGAAATATGTAATATACGTTTGTCTGGTTTGCGTTGAATCATTTCGAGTTAAATCAAAGATTAAAACGTAATATAATAATAAGAGTTTCAAGAATTCTATTCGTCCTCGTCGAGAACATCGATGGCAGCAGAGCCTGTAATGTCCACGAGTTCTTTCGAAGTAAAAGTAGCTATAATTTTCTGTGCTCCCGATTTTTGTGGAACCAACTGGTGTTCCACGTACACATCCTCTTCCGGTTCGACGTCTCTGAACATCAGAGTCTTATTTTTCGTCAGTCCTGGCCCAGCGTAATTGAATTTGCATTCTGTCAAGGTTCTCTTCAAAGGATTTTTGAAGCGAAGGGAGATCGTCGATGGTCTTCCTACCATTGGTTCATCATCGATCTAGAAATGTATTTAATAAAGAAAGAAACAAATTATATTAATTTTGGCACTGTACCAAAGGATATAACATGGCTCAGCAGCAAGAGACACCCTGTATGGTCTCTTATTGATTCTCATTTTACCTTCACCACAATGCTCGGTTTCAAAACCTGGAAATCATCCTCGTCAGCCCATGTTTGCCTGGTCTCCTTGACAGTGGCAATGCAATACAGTTTCATAATACAGTACTCCACGAGCTTGTCCAAATAATCGTCCACCGTGACCGTGAGTTTCAGCTGTTCGGCTAAAATAAGTCACACGTGTTCGAAATGAAAAGACAGACTTATTTATGTACACATGTAAATGAATGCGGGCTCGATTTGCGTTTTGAATTGCAATTGGACGTCTGGTCTAAACGAACACCTACTACAATCAATAATTTATATTGCCAAATCGATCTGGAATATAAATTTGCTCGAGAGAGCAAAGATATATATTTGGAAATTTAATAAGCTAAAGTGAACTAGAGCTTGATTCGCTCTAAAGCCAACTGTCTGAATTTTTGGTCAGACCGGAAGTGGCAAAAAAAAAAAAAAAAATTTTGGCCATTCATTGAGATTTTGACCCACTAAATACAATGGCGCAAGAATTTTTTCGATAACTCTTACCTTTTGGCAATACAAAAATGACAGAAAGTCTAAAGTCTCAAGATTTTCAATTTTACGATGCGGATTGGCTAATAAATGGAATCAGATACAAGGTGAAAAGTATTATCCCTAGATCGTTTAATTGATATCGAATGATTCTTAACGAACTTACTGGCGTTTGGTTGAAGGGTGAAGTCACCGGATGCTCTTTTCACTAGGTTCGCCTTGACCCCGTTATAGTACACGCTACCGGCAGACAGAATGGCTTGAATGGTTCTTGGCTGATTCGATTTGTTCTTTATGTTGACAGTCACGGCGAACGGTTGACCGATATTCACCCGTTCCAAGTCTACGAGATCGAATTCAACGTCTTCCTTTCCTGGCGAGGGTAAGGAGTAAAATCTTTTCGCCACTTCCGTACTTCGCACTGCTCTGTATAACGTCAGACGTTCCGCTTCGGTACCTGAAAATAATTATTCGTTAATTAGTACCAATGATAGTGAATAACTTGATTCGTTTCGACCCAGGTTCCATCGTTCATGCGACTACCGTGTCATCCACTCTGCAAGGGTTATAGTTTAAAAGTTCAAATAACTCGAATTTATGAAATTTGATTTATCGATGAGTTCAATGAGTCTCGTCGTGGAAGTTCAAAAAGTTCAAATAGATATAATAGTCCCAATGATAAATGACATTGACCGTCTTTTAGCTCGAGTCCATTATAACAACGTTAAAGATTCAAACGTTTAACTACAATAAAATGAAAAATCCAAAGCTTTCAAGATAAGCATTATTCGTTTATTATAAGTTCAAAGAAGCATTTAATTCATTCATATTTACCTTCTTTCGCTTTGTACAATGACGTTATATCCTCTCGGTCTCTGTCACCATTGGGATCGAAGATCCAAGGTGCTTTCGTCAGAATCATACGACCGATACTGTTAACAAAAGGAAGTTTAAATTTCAGATTAATCGAGGAGTCAAAGTATCAGTTAACAAAACGAGTCGTAAATCAAGCGTGTAATTGTGTAATTTTAAACAGAAGATTCTTCTGCGTAAATGCTTCGATTATGTTCGCGTGATGGAAATTAGATAATATACGGTAGCGTTTCTAGTAATAGCCAAGGTCAAAATTACCATCCCAACGGCGAATTTCAACTGGACGATTAATCGAAAAAAACGTGGTAATTATCTTGTACTTAATAACTCTCATGTTTGTAACATTGAAATCGTGAAGATTAGGATTTTCAGAAAAACCTGATTTAATAATAATATCCCAAATACTTACTGATATTTAGGAGAAGGTGTGCCAGGATACCTGAGTAAAAATTGGGAGGAAAGGAGGTGGTAATTGGTAGCAGGATATAAGTTAGGGAGTAAAATAAAAGAGGGAAGGTATTGAGAGGAGGAGGATATGTGGGGGAGGGGTAGAGTCGTGGGAGAGATAAAGGTTGGCTGGAAGTGATGGTAGAGGTGTTTGGATAAGAAGGAGAAGAAGAGGTATGGATAAGGAGAGTGGAAGAGATGAGAGAAAAGGTGGGCAGTGGAAACGGGGGTCCAGAGAGTGAATGTGTGAGTGAATGAATTGTGTGCACTCTTATTTAGAGATAGGAAAACACCTTATGGGAAGGTGGAGTTTGTAAGCGGAGCGAAGACTCCATTGTCCCTATTATTATTATTATTACTTACTGATATTTGTTACAATCAATTTTAGAGTATCCCAGCTCGCTTTCGGAATCTTCCTTCCATCTCATTAGATCAGCGTTCACCGAAGCCACCATGAAAGTAATATCGTAATTATATCCAACAGCACCTTCTCTAATTGCTTCAACGGAAGCTGGCCCGCATTGATAAACACCCTCGGAGGGTTCTTGAGGAGTAGAATCGATAGCCTGCCAGCCTCCGTATCCTTTCGGCAAATCGGGCCTAGCCATCCATACGTCGTTCCAAACGTGATAATTCCAAATTGAATCTTCGTCAAAATTCGGATTCTGCGGATCATAACCGAGCTCCTCGTTGTCTTTGTCGTAATAACGATCGACGGAGAGGGAAGCGTTCGCGTCGTGAGCCGATACCAAATTCGACACCACCCTCGATGGTATTCCAAGAGCGCGGCATATGGTGGTGACAGCGCCAGCGAATACCCAACATTGCCCATATTTCACCGACTCGCCGGTTTCTAAGAATTGTTCCAAAATCGGCACGCTTCCGGTCCACGTCGCCGGCGCCGTACCGTCGCCATATTCGCCGTCCCAACGTCCGGTAATGACACCTTTGTCGTCGTTCGAATTCACCTGGAGAAATAAATAATTTGATGGTCGATTAAAATATTCGACTCTGCGCTCTTTTTGTTCTGTAAATAAGTATCTCGTTCGAAATGTTACATCGAGGAACAGGTTGAAATATAGATACTAAAAGAACCTTACGATTCTTGAAATAGCTCGACACATCTTAATGGGATCTCCTCTGGAAATAGCTTTAATGCCTGATCTTTCGAGCAACAATTGACAAGCTGGAAGAACACAGGCATCGAATTGGCCGAAAACCCATTCTCTGCCCCGTGAACTACCCCATGGACCGACCCATATCTTTCCAACATCGTTCAAAACGTACTCGTCCAACAGCTGTTCGTCCTTCATATACACTATGTCCTCTGAAAATCAAACAAAAATTGTTAGAATAATCTTGCAGATTTTTTAAATTAAATATTAAGTCCATAAGTTCGACCTTTGATCCATGGATTAAACAGCAGATAAATATCCTTCTGATAATTAAAAGTATTCGGCGCCTTCTTGCTGCCCACTATCGTGGTCTCGACATTCAATTGCCATATGCCAATAGGGCTATCGATCGGACTTCTCACTTCCACGGATAAATCCATGCCACTGACACCGACCATCCTTACGCCCCATGCCTCCAGATCGGTCAAGTAAGTGTCCCTGTTAGTTATGGTGTTCACACCTCTGGTACCTCGGAGGACGTTCGGGTTCGGTCCAAAGCTAAATAGCAATCTAACGATATCAGTCTCGTCCAAGTATTCTCGATTGAATCTCAGAGCAACGTTGAATGGTTGACCTCTTCTGAGCACAGGGATCGGTGGGTCTAAATGTACCAATTCGTAATTGATCGTTCGATGACTGGTAGCATTCTCTTTCTCGTACAGGTGAACTGCCTCGACAACCAAGGGCTCTTCTGACGACATTTTGGGACTGCTGCGAAAAGAATTGATGTATCTTCTTATAAGAAAATTCATGTAGGTCAAATGCAAGTTAAATTTCCAAGAATGTTTAGTAAGAACCCCTTTGATGCACGGGGGAACGGATTGTACCCGAATACCATTCGTACCTTCAATTGCAAGACAGCTCGGAATTTACCTTTGATTCATCGATTCGTTGCGTAAATATCCGGGATACATCTCGGAACGTGAGCTGCCTTGCAACTGGTCTGTATCACCCTTGAATGGTATCGACGACTCTCGCTAATGATTCACCGAATTCTTCGACGAAAAGCGGTATTTCGAAAACTATTACCTAATTTCTCGTGCTTCTATGAAATATTTCAACGATGGTAGTTCGAAAAAGATAGAATTTCTTACGATAAAAGTGAAACCGGTACTCTGACAATCTCATTTGCATGCTGGTTAATTACGTAAGGAGATAATGTAACTTGGAACCTTTCGGCCTTCTTTTGCTTTTTTTTGTAAATACATAATTTATTTCAGAAGTGACTTCAGTAGGTTGACACAAAGTTTCGTGGTAATTTTATTTCTGTTAAAGTAAGTTAGATAAATAATTTGTAATTCTACCCACGTTTGTTAATTAGAATAAACAATGTTTTGGAATTTACTAATTTTTAAACTTGTAATTAATATCTGATGAAATGGATAAAAAATTAAATATTAAAAATTTAACCATCAATATGATACATATTATAATTTTATAAGATATCTATAACACTTTTATCGTAATTAATATTTTTAAAAATGTCACTTTTTTAATAAATCGATATGAATCATTGATAATGTGTACAACTCACATGGTATTAAAAGATAAAGTAAAATAAACTCGATGCAGTTGAAATGACAAGTCGAATTACGGGAGATAATTAAAAATATTTCGTCATACAAATGACAATTAACAATGAACTTACACTCTCACTGTACTAACACTGACTGTGAGGCTTACTGGCTTTTTATACGAGATGCAGCTTCCTTTAAGCTGACCGCAAAATCCCCACCTACGATCAGCAGCACGTGGAATGACATTAATGTTTTCGTACGAATTTATTTAAACCAAAAATTTAATACCGAGAATCAACGAGATTCATTAAAATGACGAATTTTAGATATTTATTTGTGGTATAAGTTTCGTGGATTTGGGTCACATTGGCCCCCTACCACGAGCCAAGACATGACTCTAAATTGCTAGAAAATAGAAAAATAATGTTATAAGAGAAAATTATAATAAATAGCGTGAAATGTTTCGTGTGTTGGTTCTGAAAGCAGAGACATTTCAAAGATTTCAAATCCCAAAAACCACTTGCGCTTAATAATCGATCCTACGTATAATTTATAAATGAAAATAGTATTCGTTATAAATCTCGACTTTGCAAACGTCGATTCTCAAAGGAAGCATTAGAGAAATATTATCTTATCGTCTTGGTATGCATCGTTAATTAGCTTGGCTAACATGTGTTAACGGAGGTGCTGTGGATGTTGCGGTTTTCCACACGATTGATATCGTTAGCACGGAAAGAAAATGAGAACGATAGGAAATGGAAATGATTTTGAATTTTCCACGAATTCGTTTCTGTTCAGTTTGATCTGATTCCACGAATTCAACTTGTTACCTCTCTAAATTCTATTTTACATAAAATTCCTGTGAAATTAGAAAAGTTTTCTTCCCACAGGAATTTTCAAAGTTTACAGATACTTTAAGTAACAGGAGAAAACCAAGAAGCACAAGTGGATCGTAAAGAGTTAATCGGGTATAAATAATTATCAAGTTGTTCCGTAATATTTTGATATTGAACGTAACAATAACATTGCTTACAATAAGAAACATAAAAAACCAACAGAAATATACGCATATTATAATATGTACAGCTTAACTTAAGGTCCATTAAACGTAATTTAAATCATACAACATTTGACTGAATCTTTAAGGTGTAATAAATCATCATTTGATATTGACAACAAATAAGAAACAGTTGAACATCATTCTAGCAACAAGTATGTATTTTATTTGTGTCAATTTGTTATTTAAAATTTGGATAATCAAAGAAGAAACATTGATTATTATAGGCAAAGTTCACTCTGCAAAAAGTTGTCGAAATCACAGAATAAAAAGTAAACAATTTTTCATTAATTTTTAAAATTAAACATATCGAAAGTGGATCACTTGGTCCATTATTTGTAAAATCATTCAATACTGATCAATCAATTCTGTATCGAAGCTAATGGCATCGGATTGCAAAAGAAAGTATAGCTAGAAATTCGATTCAACAAGTACAAATGAAGAGATGCTATACATGGATACGTTCTAAGATAAATGGATCGTACGTTGAGCATCTGTCTAACGTGCTTAGAAACGTTACAGTAAGGCAAACGGTATTCGTACAAAAACGCGAAAAGAAAATCATCGTACCTGTATGGATTCGTTTCCGCTTAGACCATTTTACAAAACAACGCCGAGTTTGATTAACTGGATAATTATCGCCTCTCTGTGTCATAGAAATTTTTCAATCGAATCGCTCTCAATTATTAGTAATCTGATAGTAGGCAGATTTCATGGTTTTTTCAAAGAAATATTCAATGGGTTCCAAAATTTGGCACAAATCATTGGCTGTTACGTGGAATTTTCATTTAAATCATTTTTCGAATGTCTAAGTGGCAATTTTCATCCAGTTTGAACAGCATATTTCATTTGAATGATTCGAGTTACTCGTTAGAAAAGCGGTGTTTCAATTTTCAACGTTCACAAACGTTTTCACCTAGTAGGAAGATACAAAACAAGGCTCGATGAGAATGTACACAGCGAACATATCGTGATACTTTTGTTTATTTCATACATACTCTCACATTTCAATTATCGTTTTCCTTTTTTCATTTTCTATGTCAGAATGTAGCCGATTTTCTTTCATATGGCACACGCCAGGCACAAGTTTGTCTCCTCTCCTCTCTCCTCTCACTCTCCAACGACTTACCCCACGCACTAAAAGGCATATCGTCAACTATAAGTTCAGAAATCCAATTAACGTAAAGATAAAACATATAAAAACCTCTAAAACGTAAATCCATAAAAAATAAATTAGAATATCCTACTAAATTTTCACCTTCAATAAAAGTGTATCTCCCATTTCTTATAACTTCATTTTCCTTTCGTTTCAAATTTCAAACACATATTATTGTTCCTCGACCATCTCGACCGCAAGAAGCATATAATAGTAAAAGTTATAGTTTAAAATAATTAGATTAATATATATGTATGCGATCACATATTTAATAATCGTACTGAAAACAATATTTCAGTGAATTTCACTTGACGTACCGTGCATATTTTCGTTTATAAATATTAGCTAAATAATGTAACAGCACTTCTCATAGATCCTCACGTGATCTCCCAAATACGACCGCGTTTACGTTTCATAAAGTCATTTCTTTTTTGGTCCGATCGCGATAACCAGTCTTCTCTGAATGGTACAACCTGATAAACGCGGTCGTGTTTATAATTATTTTCTTTTTTTTTTTTTTCTTTAACAAAATGCGTCCTCGATCCTACTATCACAGTCAAGTCTCCCGTTTCTCCCGTATCCCATAAATATAATATAACGCTTTGTCCAAACGTTTCCTTGTTTCGCACAGAAGAACGTTGCGTGCAACCGTATCGAAACAACGTTCAAGTAAATGGAATATTTCGCGAGCACTTTTCGCAACAATCGATTCGTCTCAAGTGTAAAAATTAACAAGAACAAAAAGGTAACAAAAATCGATAAGAAAAGAAACAGAGATGATATCTTTTCATTTCCTTTCTGACAAATTTTGTAGGAACACCAGTGTGCGCGGGAAATGCATCTTTTTGTTTTGTTATATCTCGTTTAAAAGGCGCGGTATTCGATGTTTGTCGACGAAATTTGTATAATCCCAAACGATCGGAACACCGCACAAAAGCTCGTGTGTATTTCGTAGTATTTCTTCGTCGCGATAACTGTACAATTGTAACCCCGTTTTTAATTCTATGATGTAACTCTTTGCAAGCTGTATCCGGTTTAAAAAGATAGTGCTCCAACTAGCTCAAAATACATAATAATCAACAAGTAATCGCGAAATATGCATTATTCTATTGTATATATATATATATATATATATAGCTTTTTTCTTTATATTATTTATTTTATATATATATACCACTTTGTTCATTATACTCTTGTCGTATGCAGGGTATATATCATTAATAAGTGACTAGTTTAAAAACGAAAATCTCTTCGTTCGCTTCATGGGCGTACGATTAATTTTCTTTGCGTTTTCCTCAATTTACACCGTCATACACGACATACAGCTAATAGGTTCGAACGTGTATCCTATACACGGTGTTCTCTGTTACTTTGAAGCCTCTTGATTAATTTGCAAACACGACTGAAAGTCGAATCGAGTCACGCATGGCTCATTATCTAGGATATGATCGTTAACGATCCTGTTTTTCAGTTTTACTTGTTTTGTGTCATTTTTCTTTTTCTTTTCTTTTCTTTATGAATTTGCCTATACATGCGTATGCAACCTCGAACAGTACTAGGTACTAATGTTAATAATGCCTAATTAAGGACCGTCGAAGCTACAATGGTCAATTAGTCGATCGAATTGGGTTTCGTTCGCCAAATACTCGACGTAGACCACGAAAGACAACGACACATTTATACGAGGCGACGGAGACTCGTATCATCCGGTTGTATTAAATTATTTAGCCTGGCCGGGGGCTAACTCGGAGCGTCTTCCGGTTCCACCGTGCCACCGGATACACTCGGGCCCGTTTCGCTGCTTTGGCTCATCGACACGAACTGCTGTGACAATGTCTGCAGACTTTGTCGCACCTAAAACGTTCATTTCAGTCCATTCAATGATTATGTAATAATTGAAGAATACAAATTGAACCATAATTGTATGGTAATGAAATTGAATGTACAGCGAAGGACAGAAGTGAACCGATGAAAACCATATTATTTCATTAGTGATTTCGTTTAGTACCTTTACTATTTGATCAAGGTTTGTATTAAGATAATGCAAAAGTCGATCCTGCGTGAAACGTTCCGGCGAGACGAGCGGATGGTTCAGATAAGCCGTATGCAGCCTGTCGATGCGTATCATCATCAAAGCTGCCGACACGTAGAGAGCTGCTAAGAGAGCTATCAGAATGGTAATCACTGTGCTAGTTTTCAGTCCACCCGCGAACAAGGACGATAGGACTTTGGATTTGCTGGACCTGGTTGGAAGCAACGGTACTGGTGTTGGTTCAAGTCTGAAAATACAGAGAGAACAATTATTAAAGAACAATTATCCTATTCAAAAATATTATATACACCGATAGACAAAAGACAAAACTTTTAACTTTTCTGAGTCTATCATCATCTATTCAAAAAAATAATTACATTATAGGTGCTGTTAAACTGGCCCTAGTAATAGCTGGTGGTACAACACCATCAGTATCGGTGCAAACGGTCGGTGGTCTGGAATTAAGATCTGTCCCGCTTTCGGACATGCTCGAATCATCTTCCTCAGGGTTCACCTCGGAGTCATCGACGACCAACACGTCCGGAGCGAGTAGTTTCGTTTCACTCGTAAGCGGTAGAATAGCAGGTGATGGTTGTGGCTCTATAGCAGCGTCCCAAACCTGTTTCATCAACTTGAATGTCGAGTCTCTGGACAAAAGTGAACAGAAAACGTGCCTCTCCTCTTCGGTAGCGATTGCCACCGCATTTGGAATGATCCTCGCTGTCTTCTCCTTGCTGATCTTCAGCACCGATGCTGTCGGTATTAGCAGCTTCGTCACGTATCCAAACACGTTGCTGTAGAAGGCGAAATAGTTTGGCGTGATGTACAGGTAGCCTTGCAGCAGTATGTCGCCTACCAGCGCACAGCTGTAGTAATTTAATACTCGTTCATCCGCAGCAACCTGGTGAACAAAATTCCGGACACTGAATACATTAAGTAACGTTAATGTTATAAGCTTGATTTATGGTACACGGCTACAAAGACACGGTGCGGTTACCGTAATCGAAAAAGAATGAATTACGTTTGAATGCCTGAATCCGGATCACACATAAATATACATATTTATACATACCAGGGCAATCAGTATAAAGTGGGGACAGCTACGTTTACTTTACTTTGACGTTGATGTTAAATACATGTAAATAAACCTTAATAAACATACTTGGAAAAACGAAGAGCATTATGTGTGAATTATGAACCATTCATAAGAACCCATATTTTTTCTTTTATTAGGTCATTAAGTATGAAATGTCCGATTAGCTAAAGTACCAAGTTCGACACCTGACGTCTCTATTGTTTCACTTTGATCGTTCTTTATTTTTTTTTTCTATTAGGGAGGTACGTCTTTAGCCTTTCAGATGCACGTTTCGGTTTGTGATTATCTGTTGAACTGCCTTTTGCAGATTAAATTCTGTAAACCATGGATAAGTAAAACATTCGCGTTATTTTCGAATATGAATTGCGTCATGGAATTAATGCAGCGCAAACAGCTCGAAGTGTCAACGAAGTGTTTGGCAAAGATAGTGGCTAATGAATGCACAGTACGTCGATGGTTTGAGAAATTCCAATCTGGCGATTTTAATCTGAAAAAAAAATATATATATACTGATCGAATTGAGTAACCTCCTCCTTTTTCGAAGTCGGTTAAATGAACCACCTGGGGCGACCTGAGAGCAAGGTGGATAATAATGAGATCGGTAAGATTAAGATGCTGAAGAAAATCGGACATTTCATACTTAATGACCTAATAATTATCCTGAGACTTTGTAGATTAAAACCACCGCTTCTACTAATGATACATAACTGATAAATTAAAAGAAATCATCTTTCAATTGATATAAAAGAAAATTGTTCACCGTTCCCAGTAAATGCTATTTAACAGTTTCATGGGACTCTTAAACACCCTGGTCACAGTAAAACTATCGTCCAATTTAACAGTCGGTATAAAAAAATTTATTAATTAATTTTCTCTCAATCCTCGGAACTAGTTTGAAATATTACACTATCGAAAACAAGCAGATCTGTCACGCGTTACACTTTATTTGCGTCTACTTAGCAAGATAAACTTTATTGCTTTTTATACCAGTTAGCTCGGGATTGATAAGACGTTGTTGATTTCAAGTAGCAAAGATTACACTGCGTGGGTACGAAAAGCAAACTGAACGACGCCGAGGAATACCACGATTCCATTCTTAGAATACAATTCTAAATGCAATTTCGTTCCGGCTTTAATTCCACACTCTAATTCACGAAACTCGCGCCTCGTGAAAGTGAGACGTCGGAAACTTTCTTGAATTACCTGAGAGAAATGCCTGTGGAATTTCTTCTGTCTCGCACTGCTGGTAGTGGTTGGCGAGGAAGTGGACGAAGATCTGCTTACTTTTCCTGGGGTCTGCACGACGCTACCAGCTGCCATTGATGGTGTACTTCTACTGAGCGGTTTCGAAAGTTGACTGTAACATTGAAAATTTGGAAATTTCATACGTTCGTTCCTTAATCACGTCGAATTAGAATTTTTTACATTGTAGGCGTTTAGTGGAGGGAAAGAAGGATTTCGTCTCCCTGGACGTCTTTGGTTCGGGCTGGGGACCGCTAGGTGGCGGCGAGATGATCGATGGATCAGTGTTCTCGCTGGCGGTCGCCGGGCATGCAGTTCGAATATACAATATCGATCATAGTGTCAGTTCGTCTAGTGAAAAAGCACTAAAGGGGTAGATGCCCCTACCACCTCATTTGAATGAGGCATAATTCGTGGCAGGGGCACCTTCCCCTTCAGTGCTTTTTCACTAGACGAACTGACACTATGATTGATATTGTACATATAGGAGTTCCGAATTGCGATATGATGGGTGTCTGGGGCAGGGATCGTTTGCTGTGATCCTCCCCCCTAGTAGTTTTAAGTTAGGCTAAGCTACTTTAAATTTATTTCTAAGAAATCACCAAAGACTGATCCATGGGGTTTTTAAAGTACAAATTATATTATGATTTTTTTTCCCCATACCACTTAAATCATTTCTAAGTTTATGTATTCCGTATACAAAGTGTTTCTATAGCAGTAACTGGGACAGGCTATTTATTGAACTGTCGAACCACGAATACTGGGTCAATCGTGAAGCAGATTGAAACGAATTCACTTCAAATTAAATACCTAGAATTTTTAAACACTTTAAACGCTCAGAATTTACAATAAAATAGAGTAACATAAATTCACAGTTTCTCTTCTCTGTAAACACTACAAGATCTTCTGCAACACCTACGAGAGCAGCAAATCCCTACCAGATACATTGATTCTCATATTAGTCATAAATTACATCACGATGATTCTATCTTGTTATTTTAAAACATTGTATAAAACTATGCGTACGAATGTAATGATACATTTATCACACCTTCTGCTGGTCCTTCGAATTTTCGGGCTCCACACATCATTACTCCACATATCGTACTTTGATACGTACATCTTCTCAGGATCTGATTTAAGCACCATATTGAATAAATCTGACGGACTGAAAAGAATCTTAAGAAGAACTAAGACTCCACAGATTTGCACAATGAACCGGTCTCTTCGTAAACTGCCTCTTCGGATGAATAATCCGATGAGAGGAACTTCTGAAGAACTGGCGTTAATTCCTCTTCCATCCAGGGATGGAATTAATTCGATCGCTAATTGAGTACGTACGAATCGCTTTAACGTAAATTAAGGCCGACCGTGTAGATGATCGAAGACGCGATCAAGGCAAATTGGATCCGCTTTGAAAACGTAGCACGTCGAACAGGGGTTAATTACGACCCAGCCCTGGCGAGATATGTTCAAAAACTACTTCGGTAAAATTAGCTATTGAATTATATGAAATGGGTTCTTTCGCGTCGAAGGAAATAATCTTAAATGTAGAAAATAGAAGGATAAAATTAAATTCTAGTTCTGAATCTCCTGTAACGCGACACGGCCGGATTTTGTGTCGCTTTTTCATTGAGAATCGGATTTAAAATTTGCTCAGAAAATAAAATCTTCCGTCGAACTCGATAAGAAGTTGACGAAAAGTTCGGTTAATGAACGGAATATTGATAACACATAGCGAAGAACAGAATGTAGTTAAAATAGCAGAAATTCATTTCTCGTGAAATTAGGAGACACTCGTTGTTGGAACCACAACACTGATAATGTAGCGGATCAATGAATCACAGATATCTGAAGTAGATGAAGACGAACGTGACAGACTTTTCACTTAATTCGCACGTGTATAACTGTTTGCTCTGTAACAGATCTCTGACAAACTTTCAGATAATAGGTCACTAAAATCAAGAACGTCTCGATATTTTCAATTTTCAATACCGATCACGGTAGATCGAGCGAACAAACTCGCGTATTGTGTTCAACTGACGAATACGGAACGGCAGTGCTATCGATCAATCGCGATGCTGATAATACACTAACAGAATATCTTGACTGTATTTTTCATTCGTCGTGCACGAGCGTCGATCAAGAAAATCAGAAAATTTTGCGATAACGCGAAATGCTTCTAGTAAATCATTCTTTTCCGATGAATCTATATATAAATAGACGCATGATAAATATAGTTAAGCCGGAAGTCGTGTTGATAAGCTTTAGAAATGTATACTTTCATTACTAAAAGAAATGCATGGAAATAGAAAAATAAGTGTGAATCAAGAAATAAAAGAAAAATTGAATTTCTTTTCTTGTTTCATATCAGGGTAAATCAATTTCTTCCCTAAAATTCTTCAATTCTTCCTAATAAAATTTGTTCACATCTGGCATTAGATAAAAATTGTTAATGTTCCTCTTACAATAAATACCATTCATTGAAAAATATAACCCAAATTTGATATTCGTCATAAGTTGGAAAGAACGTTGAGCGATGTGTTGTTTCAAGTTCATAAAACGTGAACTAATATAACGGAGATAAAATTAATCCGAACATCAAAGGCAACTCTATTTGAAACATTTATCGCGCAGGTGTCACAGGATCGTACTCTACTTCTTGTTTTTCTTACCTGCCCGAACAGGTGTCCCATTATCTCCCGATACAATATCAGCTTAACTAACAGTTTCCAGAAATCTACAGTACTCCCAGTGAGGATTTTTGTTTTTTAAGTTCCGGCGTTCATTTTGAATCAATTTGTTTAGCGTATCTTTATTTTCCATGGCAAATAAGAGGAACTCCGTGTCCCAGATTCCCACCCTTCCCTTTAGACACCCATTAGGGAAAATGATGATGCAGGGGAAAAGACCCCATCACTTGTATATAAAATTAAGATTTTAATATTCCTGCTTCCCCTATATCGCCAATTTTCCTGTAGAAACATCATTTGATATCACGAGTGTACTCTTAATTCTAAAAGTGAACAGAAGGTTAAAAAATTAATTCATTATCGATATATTCTGGATCATTATTATGATACGAGGATTAACTCTAGGTGATGAGTTTCGGAAACAATCTTCGGTTATATGCAGCTGGTTGTCTGGCGTGTTATGCAACTGCATATTACAAACTACGGTCCAGAAACAACCGGCTAGAATAATTGTCCTAACCCCGTTCGTCAAGGCCAACCATTAGCCTCTGCGCAAAGTAGGTTAAGAAGATTAGGGGAGGAAATAGAAAAGATTACTATCGGATTTAGTTCTAAATCAAATGAATCCGTAGCTCAAACTCGTTGAAATATTAGTTGAGCCGAGTAAATTAACTAACTTGTTAACCACTTAACGTCCAGGTACGTAATATTACGTTGGCCAACTTTAGTGAAAAAAGAAACCACATCCGTAATATTACGGGCGTGGTTTTTTTCGGTGATTACTTTTTTATCTTAGTTAGTACGTATAAAATCGTAGCCAGCGTTGTAGAACGTCATTTCCCAGATTATGTACCAGCTACTAATAAAAAGTCAAATGCTACTCGGGTTTGTGTTGTTTGTGCGAGGAAAAGAGATGGCAAAGGGAAAAAATTACGGCGAGAATCCCGAATCCAATGCCCTGATTGCGATGTTGGTCTATGTGTACCATGTTTTCGCATAAGTATATCACACAAAAGTGTGATTTCATTTCATTATAAAAGTTGCCTTATAGAACTATATATTTTTATTTTTTGACTAAAATAACCATGACCGTAATAATATGGATCTAGATTTTCCAATGTTCTTTTTTTTCATAGTTTTCATTTAAACATTTTAACATTGTCTTCGATAAAGCTTCTAATAAATTAAAAGAAAAAATTAAGGTTTGTTTTCACTCGTTTCATGCTTTTGAATAGGGATCTTAAGTAGTTAATAAAATAGTTTCCTACAGAAACTCGTTAAGAAATGTCATGAAAATTAAGATTTTCAAGGCTGATTTGATCGCGAGTGTACAGCTTGTGTAATCGTAAAGGGCAAGGTTCCCCGTGCATAGTTAACCGAAGCATAGTGCAGAGTTCACGATAGAGGTACAGGAAGGTGAAGAACTTACCTGTCGTTACATCTCAAGGCCGCGTGGCTCGGACTCTTCGGAGGCTGAGGATTACTCGCAGCTGCCACTGTAAGCTGAGAGCTGCTGGTAATCGGCTGTTGGCCAGCTTGTTGCGCTCCAGGAGCTACTTGAAGAGGCGTGCTGGGCGCCGATCGTGCTCCTATGGACCCCGCAGACCTGAACAAACAAAAATTCAACGATCAGTCTCACCTTTACAGGAATATATTTTCTTTTACCTGGAAAAATTAATCCCCGAATGCGAACACATTTTGTTATTAACATATTGGGGGTAGTGCAACGAACAATGGATCGTATAGAAATTTGCTTAATACGTTGACTGCCGCAGTGAAAATGGGCATTTCTTACGAGACGTATTGAAGCTCTAATTATTAAGAATAGGAATAATTAATTTTCAAATTTCAAATGTCAAGCTTTTAATTTGATACTTTACATTAATAATATAATAACAATACTATTGAAAATAATATTTTTTTATCGTTTTCTTTTAATTATTGAAGTGCGTGTGACCCCCACGGCAGTCAACGTGTTAAGAAACTATTACGTTTAGTTAATTGCAGGGAATACTGATAAATAATTAAATGAATTTCAATGAACGTACCTAGCCCTGATGACGGTGCTCGAGGAGAAGCAAAAATCGATCAAACCTCGCGTTTCGAACTCCATCTTTCCTATCCGTCTGTTCCACTGATTAGTACTCTAAATATCTGAAATTTCTCGAAGCTGGTAACAATCCAGTGTCGACAACAATTTTCTAGTTTTCCGAAAATCAAAATGAACTGAGATTCACCTGAACGAAAGGAGTTACAGTGTTCTGCGAAGAATTTGAAGAAAATCGAAGAAGCAGTGCAGTGATTATATTCAACTTCCCTCTCAACAATGGGACATAAAAGTATTGCAACGATTGTTAATTCAAGATTAAATCTAAATGCCCGCCGGTTGCTCCTAGCTTTTGCAACTCTCGAAGAGTTACCCAAGAAAATGAAAACAGATAAGGTCGAACCGTTATAAAAAAAAAAGAATTATCGGTTCGTTGTGAAAATATGTTGAAATTGTTGATCACTTTTCACACCGAAGTTCTAAATTAAAAGAGGGAACACAATGAAGGAGATAATAAAAAGAAATTAGCAGACTACAAGGAAAACAATCGTCGTCCAGCAACGATGATGAATGTGAAATGAATTGAAACCGTTCCTTTATGTTTTTTATCAAGAATCAAAAGAGATTAATAGAAACCACGCTCGTATCGGTGTTTCTTGAATATCACCCTGGCAGAGGATCGCAGTTTCCCTCCCAACGAGTTGATGGCCAATTTGGCGATGAAGAAGATGCTCATTTCTGATTATGAAATATTTGAAACAGCGACTTGTAAGATACGATGAACGAAAGAAAATGAATGCGAAGAGCAACGTGTACGCGAGTCGTCCACGGACCAGCCGGGAAGTTAGACTGACGACAAAGCCAACGATGAAACGCTACTCAACCATCGATGTCCTTTTCACCTTTTTCATTATTAATGGACACACTTGGATAGTCTTATCTATACCCTAGAAAGTGCATATGCATCGACGATGGAATGTACAGATCCGTTCATAAGTCGTGAGACAACTTTAAAATAAAGTAACCATTGTTCCATTGGCACTTCCGGAATTCTCAAATATATTTTTATTTAAAATTTAACACGTTCGCTGCCACCTTCGACGTTTCTCGTAGGAATTAGGATATAATGGCACACAGCATGTCCCTAACATTTTCTGGATACATATTGGGTTTTTGATAACTGTTCCATGTCTTATGAACGTAAGTGTAGGGTAAAGTGAGGAAAGAACGATCGAACCGGTAGTCGTACGTTACAAGGAACATTCTAGAGGTGAACAGAACAGCTGTTGCTATGTATATACTACGTTTAATTTATAATAAAACGTACAGTGGGTCGCAAAAATATTCGCACACCGTTTAAAACAGAATACCTCATTTAAAGTTGAACTAAATGACTTGGAGTTTCTCGAGAAACTATACAAGTTAATTTGCTAAGACTTTTGTCGTTTTAAAAAATTAGAATTTGTCGAAATCGGGAAAGAAATAGTAAAAGGCAATTTTTTAACTTTTAACATAACTAGTCGCGTTCATTGATGAAAAGTCACGATTTTTGGAAATTTTAATTACTTGTAACTTTTAAGTGCACTGACCGATTTCGATGAAATTTTATTTCAATCTACGAAAGACATATTTTAAATTTTCATTATAGGCTCACATAAAAAAGACACGCAACTTACAGTTCAAACGTGTCAAATTCGGCTGGTACTTTCAGTATGGTTGAATTTCGAGTTGAATTCTAATTTTCATTTATTTAGTCAAGGATCGTCGTTTATTTCTCTTAAAATTGAAGCAACGAACAGTTAGCTTTGACTAACGTGTAAGATTAAAACATTTTCCGGGTACTATTGACGACATCTGGAAAGGATATGCTACGCCAACGTATCCTAAATACAAGTAGACAGATAGAGAACAAAGGGCGATGGAGGGTCCAACCTTGACGTGGCAAAGAGGCCCTTGCTTTTTTGACAGAGAGGACATTCTTTTCTGTGACGACGAACGAGCCACATCGACTAGTTTTCTGTAACAATCGTTGTAAAATTTAAAAGCAAATCAGCAAAACATCCTGTATCTTACCAAATATAGACTCGCAATATAGACCAAATATAGCGTATCGAATAAATGATAGGCGAAGGAGTTAATTGAAACGATTGTAAATGAAGTTCATCCGTGTCGTGCGATGCAGAAATGACCTGCATCAAGAAAACGCAACGTCCACGTGGCCGATGATTAAGTTGTCTCATCACGGAAGCGGAAAAGTATTTTTCTCTTAGCCATTTGGCCGTTTCACAGGAAATATGTACGTGCAACTTCGAATCGGATTGCTTGGCACGAATCCAAAAGGTCGACCGTTCCCTCGTGCCTTGCATCGACAAAAAGCGAAGTCGTATTTAAAGAGGACGTGAATTGTGTGACACCGTCTCTTTCCTACGGGCTTCGTTGGCATGATCGTCTAAATATGCGATAGATAATAAAGAAAGCAACCATAACGATTCTACCATCGTCCGTGTTATTCCCAACTGAGCTTGAATGTTTAGCCTAAACGAGAAAGCAATATCAGCGTCTCGACGGACCGTGAAATTGGGAAAAATCGAGGTCGTATAGACCACTGAAAGCAATCGGACTTTTAAAAAAATCGGAATTTAAAAAAAAAAAAAAGAAAGATAAAACGTGGAGTGGTTATTTTTGGGAGATTGATAATAGACCGAATGGTTCGCAAATAAAACGGCCTATGGGATGAGTAATTGTCTGACAAGCAAAGAAAACGTTCCGATCGACTCGCAAATCTTTCTCTCTCATAGTTTAAGGGTCAACGAAAGTTTAAAGGGTGACAATTAAATTTACGGTTTATATTTTGGGGAAGATGAGGAAGCCTGACTTGATAGCTGTTGAATTATTGATAATCATAATGCGTCAGGTAGAAAACAAAAATGAATTGGTTATATATACAATATGAGAAACACTGCGTGGTTCAAAGTTACATTGTTAGACCAGATGCCATTGGACCTAAGGGCCTGGGTAATAGACTGGATGCAGCCCTGGTCTCTTTTATTTTACAAGTGGGCAACAGAAATCTGTCTTGTCCTTACGATTTTTCCTTCACTTCAAGTCAGAATTTCAAAGCGTTAAGACGTCATTCCGAGTCAAGAAACAAAACGGATACGTCAGAGAAATTCACTGTGTATTAAAATTTATTTAACCCATTTCCAATACGAGCGTACACCTGACAAAATGAAAATAAACTAATTTATTTAATCTAACTGCAGATATAAGATAATGATCGATCGCGATAGTTCACTTTATACTACGTGGAAGTCACAAACACGTTCTAAAAGTTCCATCCAATATCAGTAAAAACATCCTTAGTGTTGCGACTTATTTTTTGCATTATTAAAATACAGCAGGTGCACATCATCGCAAATGTTTCCCGAAGGACAGCAACGCAACAATATCGATAATTACCCAGCATACAACTTAAAATAATCAATAAAGGTATAAACTGGCTCTCCATACTTTTTTAATTATCGTGTCCGACAGTGAGAATTATAAACAACGATAAATTATAAAATTTAAGCGATAAGAAACGTAATTAATGAATCCCTCGTCTGGTTCTTTATCGTCTAATTAATTCGCTGGATTTAAATTATGTAAGTACTTTAAATAAATGAAGTAACGAAACTTTCTCTGTACTTAGTGTAAGATACTTTGCAAGATATTGATTAATTAAATGTTAATTACTGCTCCACAAAATTATACATTCACCCTAAAGTTGGAAGTTTTATTTTCTTTTTCTTTCAATTCTAAATAATTTAATAGAATATATTTTTTATCTATCTCAGGATCGTATCTTGAATTTTATTTTTTGAAACAATATACAGTGGTACCTCGGTATACGTCTGCTTTGGTATACGTCCTGATAAATTTTTTGTGTGAATTTTGCATCATTTTTAAATAATTATCTCAGAGGAAAAATTAAATTAATAATCAATTATATTCGAAGTTGATGTATTATTAACTAACTGATCATACAAGTAAGGATATCATATAACAAAATATGGGAAAGGTCGATTTGGTATACATAAGTCCAATCAGGAACGGATTAAGGTCGTATACCGAGGTACCACTTTACATTTTATTTCATCCAACTCTGATTTCGAATAGATTTACACGAAAAGACTGAAACGCGGCAGGTAAGAAAATTGTGAATGTAAAATAAAAACAGCGGAGATCGAGATTTAGATTTCGAAATTTGACTTTCGAAGGAGATCAGATAGCTTGATCGCGATTATGTACATTTCCGATTGTATGCATTTCCGTCGAGTTGCCTACATCTGCGTGTTTCCACCGATTTACCGGCTGCAGATGTATATTCGATTACTTGCCAGATAGCTGTTCGCATATGTTACGACGCCCACTTTCTACAGGATATATGGTAAATTATAAATGAAAAAGGCATGAACGATACATTCGCGTGTGCATCTTGCACCTTTGACACTTGACTTCGAAAGTAGAAGCGTTCGATTTGCAAGTATTTCCACCGTATCTGCCTCTCTTCTATCTAC